GGAGAAGCCAAAAGAAGAAGCCAAGAAGCCAAGAAGGAACAGAAGCCGAGAGAGGAGCAGAGAAGGCCGGAGAGCCCAGATAGAGTGAAGACTTGCTGGGGGCTGGGAGGCCTGCCAGCCTCCCGGCCCCCCAGCACCCCTGCTTGCTGTGTACCTGGTAATCCCAATAAAAGACCTGCAAAAAACCACTGAGGACTCTGACTCCTCCTTTACCTGGTCTGCTGGACCCTAGAAAACCTGCCTTGTGTTCATTCCTGACCCTACAGGGAGGGTTCCACCTAGGGCAGCAGCAGGAGAAAAGCGCTGCCTCCAGCTGCAGTTTTCTTATCTTTACAGACATCTCTGCAGATAGGACCCCTGCTTTTGGCCAGAAAAAATGTCTCAGGATGACTAGAAGGGGAAAGTGGGGTGCTAGAAGTGGCGCAAGTCCGGTTGAGCCTCTCCTTGGCTCTGTGCACCCTCTAGCGGTGACATGGTGCCATTGTTTTCTGTTACAGACTTCCCTGTTTCTACTTCAGGCAGGCATCTCTTAATCACACATTAATTAGGTTGCATGTAACAACCACTAAGCCACCAAGCAAGGGTCTACGCTGCATTCTTAAAGATCTAGGGAATTCACGTGTGAAAAGTAGTAAAAAACATGTAGGTCCACAGTTATCACCAAGAGAGGAGACATTTTTCCATCAAATGCTGGGTCATAGAATGGGGGTTTGAGGATCTTATGAGGAAGAAAGTATCAACTATCTTTTAACCCGTCCATTCCAGCTGAGGTTAAAATTATAATTTTTCCAAAATTTTTTCCAAAAAAAAAGAGGTAGGACCTGAATTCATATGAAAATTCCACTGATAGAGTACACATAGTGATAGAATACATGAACTACTACTTAGTTTTATTTATTGCATATCTTATCTTCTGTTGTATGCTCTACTCTCCAGCACAAAAAATAAAAGGAAGTCCCCTTGTTTTTTTTTTAAGATTTATTTCATTTATTTATGCATACAAGAGCTGGGATATATAGGCCAGAGCTGCAGGGGGTGAGAGGATTCACCAGAGACAGAGGGGGGAACAGAACAGGCAGACTGACTGAAATACACTGCTGAGGAGAGCAGAGGGTGAGACAGGAGAGGTCTGCTGCGCCATGTGGGTTGCTCCCTGGCCAGCCGGGGATCGAACTCGTGCTGCAGAGGCCGTGGATTGCTTCATAGTGCGGTGCTTAACCCCTTGTGCCACCAGGGATGCCTCACACAAGTACATTTTCATGGAAACCACAGATAAATCAAAAGTTCCCTTGATCACTGTCATGGTCCCAAAGCCACTTGCAGAGCTAACCAGTTATGGGTGGTGTATTCCTTCTAGAATTTTCTCTGTGCATTTATATTCTTTTTTTTTTTTTTTTAGATTTATTTATTTATTTATTTATTTATACAAGCACTGGGTACAGTCAGAAGCATGGGAGGGTGAGAGAATTCACCAGAGCCAGAGAGGGGAACAGAACAGGCAGACTGATGAAATACACTGCTGAGGGGAGCAGCCGGCAGCAGGAGAGGTCTGTCACGCCATGTGTGACCCTTGCCAGCGGCCGGGGATCGAACTGGCGCTGCAGAGGCTGTGGGCAGCTTTGCAGCCCAGCGCTCAACTGCTGCGCCACCAGGGGAGGCCCTGCGTTTATATTCTTATAATGTACATGAGGACTATGTAGTTTTGCATAGCAGATCATTTTATTCTGCTTTTCAAGAACTTTCCATTATAATGAGAATGTTCCACACTTCCAACAGTGGGCTACAAGACTCCACACAATCTGGTCCTTGCTTACCTCTTTCACCTTCTTACTTACCAGAAGTGCAAAAGTATTTTCCTCACAATTATGTGCTTTTATTCTACTTCGAAAGTTCCACTTCAATCAATCCTTGCTTGACAAGTTCTTCTCGACATTCAAGTGTAAGCTGAAATATCACCTCCTCCTCAGCCTCCAGAAGTCTCCAGATGCCTTCTCTAAAATGATATACCCTGCCACTGTCCCCGTTTCTAGTCTCATTCCAATCCCACTCTCTTGTTTCAGGCAAGAGTTGCTGTAGGGTAAGTGATGGTCAGGCTTTTCTGCCCTCCCACCATTGGCATTGATGATGGATTCCTGTGGTCCTGGGTGCATGCCTGATGGCAGGCACCTGGTGTAGGGTGTGGGCATGCGTAGGTGGGTACACCTGGGCTGAGATGGGGCTTATAAGGGTGGCATGGAGAAATGGAACCACCAGAATGAGGCAGCACCAGCAGAGAAGCAGAGGCCACGAGATAGTGCAGGAGAGTGCTGAAAGAGTGAAGATTCGCTGGGGGTTAGGAGGCCTGCCAGCCTTCTGGCCCCCTGGCACTCCTGCTTGCCTTGTACCTGGTAAAATCCCAATAAAACCCTGAAAAAGCCACTGAGGGCTCCAGGACTCCTTTACCCGTCTGCTCGGGTCGTAGAGATCCTGCACTGTGGCCTTCCTGCCACTACAGTTGCACTCTGGTGCTTAACCCTAACTTCACTCCATGCTTCCTAAGCTGCTTGATCTTTTTGTGCTTTGGATTTCTCATCTGAAAATGAGGATACTTAAAGCACCTATTCTCAAGGTGGTTATGAAATCAAAGTCGTTAATATTTGTAAAACACTAAAAAAGTGGCTAGAACATCAAGTTGATAAATCTTTTCCTTAGCACTTGCCATTACAGGGAATAATTTATTTGTATGTTTATCATGTCACTCCCTTAGAGTGTAGGATCTCTAAGTGCAGGGGCCTCATCTGTTTTGTTCTCAGTACCAGGGATGGCACCAGCCTCACAGCACCCTTAAAAAGTAAAAGTTGGACAAATGAGTGTTCAAATCCGTCTCCTGCATAGGAATCTGTGTGCCCATGAGAGAAATTAAAAATAGAAAACATGGTCCCACATTTATGAAAAGCTTTTTAAACTTTTATACCCTGGCCAACACTAGCTGCTAGGACATGTCTTGTGTGGTTGGACTAGAATGAATGCACCTCCCCAAATACCTGCAAAGAAGGATTTAGCCCAGGTGTCTCGTTTGTCCTGAAGGATTTAGCCCAGGTGTCTCGTTTATCCAACAGGTGCAGGATGTACAAGATGGAAGAGGACACAGTCACACTCCCTAGATATTTAGAAAGCACTAGCAGCAGTTATGTTGCAAAATGACCTTCTCAGATTCCAGCGCCTTCCAGACCTATTTGCATTGGTCAGCCAATTGATTTGGGATTATGTGGGGGATGGAGAAAAGGGAAAAGCTTCCAGTCTGACCTTGTCAGATCAGCAGTCCTACTGGACCAGTTGGCCAGGGCCTGTGACCCTGAGTTCAATTTGGAAAAATCTTCTATAAAGAGGTTAATTGTATTTTCTGCAGAAACCTAAGGTTTCTCCAGCTATGCTGGAGTACCGTCACCACCAGCAGGAAACTTCACTAAGGGCACACTGGCATGCATTCTACCGCTCCACAAAGATGCATAAACATTTATTTCCTCAAACATTTTCTTACTGCATCAGCTCCAAATTGGATGATCGCCCCAAGGCTAAGAAGGAAGAGAAAAAAATTAGCAAAAAATCCAATAGATTTCTGGCCCTCCCCTGGTGGCGCAGGCAGTTGAGCACCGTGCTGTGAAGCTGTCCGCAGCCTCTGCAGCACCAGTTCGATCCCTGTCGGCCGATGGCAAGGGCCACACATGGCACCGCAGACCTCTCCTGCAGCGCCCGCTGCTCCCCTCAGCAGTGTATTTCGTCAGTCTCCCTGTTCTGTTCCCTGCTCTGTCTCTGGTGAATCCTCTCACCCTCCTGCACATCTGGCCTGCACCCCTGTTCTTCTATAAAATAAAGAAATAAATCTTAAAAAAAAAATCCAGTAGATTTCTACTTCTCAAGCTGAGCTTGAGAAAAAGCCGGGTTCGAAGTGCTTTATTCCTAGCTTTTGCAATGGGTCTGAAGTTCACTCAAGCAAAGTACAACTAGCTCCCCAGGAAAGAGATTTCTATTTCTGTCCAAGACTTAACCCTGATTTAGGCACGATGAGTCCCCGGAAAGTCTGTTGATTCAGAGATGAATCAGTGTAGGGCCAGGAATGACATTGAGCAGGTTTTCTAGGCTCCCATGCAGACCGGGTAAAGGAGGAGTCAGAGTCCTCAGTGGTTTGTGCAGGTCTTTTATTGGGATTTTACCCAGTACACAGCAGGCAAGGGTGCTGGGGAGCCAAGAGGCTGGCAGGCCTCCCAACCCCAGCAAATCCTCACTCTATCTGGGCTCTCTGGTGATCTCGGCTTCTCTTTTGGCTTCTACTGGTGTCCCCGTGACGCCGCCCTTAAAAGCCCAGTCTTAGTCCAGGTGAATCCCATCTACCTATGCCCACACCCTATTCCAGGTGCCCGCCATCAGGCATGCATTCAGGACCGCAAGGATCCATCATCTATCCTCATGGCGGGAGGGCAGAAAAGCCTGACATTTTTCCTTACCCTACAATCAGTTTTCTTTTTTCCTAAAGATTTATTTATCTATGCATACAAGAACTGGGGTACAGGCCAGAGGTGGGGGGGAGGGGTGAGCGGGTTCACCAAAGACAGAATGGGGGAGCAGAACAGGCAGATTGTGAAATACACTGCTGAGCGGAGCAGCAGGTGATACAGGAGAGGTCAGCTGAGTCATGAGGGTATCTCCCTGGCCGGGGCTCGAACTCGTGCAGCAGTGGCTGCGGCCAGACAGCTTCATAGGTTGCGTCTTAACCCCTTGCACCACCAGGGAGGCCCTGAATCAATTTTCTTAATAATCTCAACTACTAAGGGGCGCAAGGTGGAGAAGCAGGCATTTCACCACACAGGTGCCGCCGCTCCCAAGGCTGCCAGCAGCAAGAACGGGCCTGCACCGCGGAGCCTCCCTCAGGACCTTTCTCGCAGCCCCCGAGGCACGCTGGACTACATTTCCCAGAGTGCTAAGGGTCACCCGGCGCAGGCGCACTTGGAAAACTACGGAGTCCGTCTCCTCAGAGGACCTGGGAGGTCACTCCCACCCCACTCCAGGCTCCTCCCAGTGCCCCGCAGTCTGAGCTCCCGCGTAGTCGCTGTGGAGTCTCTCAGCGGGCCGGACTCATGGACTCGGCGCTGAGGTTCGACGGGCGGGTGGTACTGGTCACCGGCGCGGGGGGAGGTGAGCACGCCGAGGCCGGGGGGGCGGGTGTCCGGGTCGGGGCTCGGGCCGGGGCTCCGCGCAGGCGCAGTAGCGGTCCCCGCGTCGGGGCTGGGGGCCGAGGTGTGGGGCGCAGCCAGGCGGTGGGGTGAGGGGGGGCAGCGGCCAGCTGCTGTTTTCCGAGCCCCGAGTCTGCTGAAGAGGGGGAGGTGGGGTTGGTGAGCCCCCAGTGGGGACCCAGAAACTCCTGGTCACCCAGGCAGGTGCAGCCTGCTCCCCTTTTACTGCCCCCCCCTCAGCCCCCCATTTCTCAGTGGGAGCGGCCCAGGGTCCCCAGGTCAGGCATGAGGACAGAGGCAGGCGGGAGCTGCGTGCATGGTGCAGAACTGGGTAAAAGTTCTTCCTGACATTCGCCAGTCGCATTGATTGCGACTCTTTGAGGGCAAGTCTTGTAAAGGTTCCAGAAAAACCTTCCAGGCTAGAGTCACCACCTCCCCCCACCCCCTTCTGTGGAGTTGTCAGCCCCTGGCCTTTGCAGGTCAGTCAGTCAGTGTTTGTCTCCATTTGTTGGAAGTTGTTTTAGCTCTTCAGAGGCCTTCTTTCAGGTGGCATTTGAGTGGTTAGCAAGACAAGCATTCAAAGTTCACTGAGGTTTTGGCAAGGGTTGTGAGCTCAGATGTCTGCAAGGGCCCAGCAAGTGTTAGAGGAATACACGGGAATCCGGTGAAACAGTGAGGACTGGAGAGCAGAAATATTTCTGAAGTGGGCCAGATCTTATATTTTAGGAGAAGCACAAATGCAGATTTGTTATGTGAAATATTCTTATTTTTTAAAATATTTATTTATCTATACATACAAGAACCGGGGTACAGGCCAGATGTGCGGGAGGGTGAGAGGATTCACCAGAGACAGAGCGGGGAACAGAACAGGCAGACTGACTGAAACACACTGCTGAGGGGAGCAGCGGGCAACACAGGAGAGGTCTGCTGTGCCATGTGGGTAGCTCCCTGGCCAGCTGGAATCGAACCCACGCTGCAGAGGCTGCAGACAGCTTCACAGTGCTGCTCTCAACTGCCTGCACCACCAGGGAAGCCCGAAATAGTCTTATTTTTTAAAGGACAAAAGGTTCAATTAAACAAACCAGTCGTACCCACACCTATACCTGCAGAGGCATTTTTTACAGTTTTCCATCAGTGCAGGGATAACTTCCAGATGCAGGGATCTTGCAGTTTTGTGATTGCAAGAGCACTTATGTGATTCCCCACTCATTGTGCCTTTTACCTAGAATAGACCTAATGCACAATTAATTTGAATGTATTAATAGGCACTTTCTAAATGGGTCATGTTTTGGGGGAAACATTTTGTTTACCCTGATTTTGATGGAAATAATTAAGTCATTGCATATATACTGACTTAATTATATATATGGCCGTCAGTGTTGTAAACCTCATTTGACAGAGAGTGATTCACAGTATGAGATATGTTTTGCTCCAGGGCCCAGTGTATGCACACCATCTGTATTTGAATCAGTCATGATTTGGTGCATAGTAAGTGTGGGATATACTGAAGTTTCTAATCTGTTTCATTAAGTAAATGCAGATTGGAACTCAATAAAATGATTTCGTGAAGCATTAATGAGTCGTGAGTAGATAATTATAATAACCTGGCACCTCCTGTTCATAAACTGGTTCATGTCTTAAAGAGACCTGCCAACTTTCATTGCCTGGATTATGATATGATCACTAGCCATGGACTTGAATACTGATATGAGGAAGAAATATAATTTTGTAGTGAAGTTGGCACTTTCACAGGCTATTATTGAGGAAGAGAGACAGCGAGACTATTGAGTCTTGGAATTCTCATCCCTGCCTGTAGGATTGAGATTGGCCTGAATATCCCAGAACGGTATCCATGAATGCCTGTTGGGCCTATCTGGGACTTAGTCTGACTTCAGCCTACTTGTATTCTAGAGATGAGTAGAAATATCTGTGCTGTTCAAGTGTTGTTGTTTAACTTGGAATGTAGTTCAATAGAAGAGAGGAAGGAGAGGTTTAGAATTGTTGAGGTTTGAGGTGAACACTTTTGCCATGATTGATAGTTTGACAGGGGGATTTGTATTTACCAGCTGACTGGAGAGTTTGTTGCAGATTATACTGTGTGAGAGTGGTGGGGTTGAGAGTGGTGGGGAGGAAGGAAGTCTGGCCATTTTGAACTTTTGGTTATACAGTAACACATTGTAGCTCTGATGACAGCAAGAAATCTGACTAGTTGATTCCTAAGTCAGGAAAGATTTTGAAGTCATTTCAATTCTTTTGGTAAACTAGAAAGTGAAATAGTCTAAGAAGTTGTCCTTCAGGAGCTTTTTGTTACCTTGAAGTAGATAGGAGTCTTTTTTTTTTTTTTAAGATTGATTTATTTATACATACAAGAGCTGGGGTACAGGCCAGAGGTGTGGGGGGTAGGGTGAGAGATTTCACCAGAGACAGAGTGGGGAACAGAACAGGCAGACTGACTGAAATACACTGCTGAGGGGTGCAGTGGGCAAGTCAGGAGAGGTCTGTTGCGCCATGTGGGTAGCTCCCTGGTCAGCTGGGGATGGTACTCATTCTGCAGAGGCTGCATATTGCTTCACGGTGCTGTGCTTAACCCCTTGTGTCACCAGGGAGGCCCCCAGATAGGAGTCTTAACCATAGAAGAAAACATTGAAGAAGCTAGAAAAAAGATTCAACCGAGATTTGAAACGGAGATGAGAGGGTGACTGACAACGAGTATAGTTGTGGGATTTAAGGCAGCATTTAATAGCAGAATAAGACAAAATGGCTCTTGAATTTAACTTTTTGTGCTTTTTGACTGTAAAGCTGTGCTAGGCTTTGTGAGCAGTGCAAAAAGAATGACATATTCTGTCCCTTCTAAGGCCTTCAAGAACCTTCAAGTTAAATTGGCGAGAGTAACTGTTGCATGCAAAGTATTTAAATAATATTAACACATGCTCAGATACAATACATGGAAGGCCTTTACTTATCTGTCATTATGAAATCGGGAAGACTGGTGGTGGTGGAGGGCAGTAGGGCGGACTCTCACATTTTACTTTATGTATATACTTGGGTACAGTTTGTGTGGGCTTTTATGATAAAGGTAGATCGCTTAGCTATCTTTTGAGAGAATTATATAACTTGGTTTTAAGTTGTGATAATTCTGGTTAATTAGGCCACTATTTATAGAAACCTACCCCTTTCTTTTTATCTGATGATTTTCTGCTATGTTGCCATATATATATTGCATTCTGGTCGTGATGAGTATTTGAAATCTCTAAAAACACCCTATTTAGAACAAGTACTTCAACCTTGCTCTGATAAAGTATTATTGTTGTGTTTGTATAGTTTTGGTAAAGTTTATTATTGTTTTGGTATAGTTTTATTTTGTCCACTTAGAATGGATTAAATTTTAAAATGAATTATTTGATGCTTTTATTTTTGGAAAATTTTATGTTTTATTTTAGGTTCTTTTTAGAAATACCCTATAATTTATACATCCCAGTTTTTTTATTTGTATACTTATTTATCAATTAATTTAAATTGCCATTTAAGTTGATCTGTTATCACATATTAAAAAAAATGTGTGCATGTTGAAACAACTTAAGTAATACCAAAGTAAGCCTACCATCCCTGGTTGCTAGTCACACAGTTCTCTTACTGACAGGTAATCACTAATTGCTGGTCTCATATATAGTCTTCATACATATATATGTCTATATCTTATAATACCTGAGGTTTTCTATACCTATAAAACTTAAATTGGTTTTATAAACCTATTGGGATCTATAAATTTGCTCCTCATCCCTTTGAATTGGAACTAAGGTATTTATGTGATTAATGATTGTATTGTAGAGGTTCATTGCAGAATATAGAAATCACTAGATATTTGAAACAGGAAAGGATTTAACATGGGTGTTTCCTCTCTGACCCGTGGAATAACTTGGAATTCTTTATTAGGGGAGCCACTTCCCCTGAGGCTGCTGTTAGAACTGTTAGCCTAGGTAGCCACTTGACACCAGGGAAATAGAGAATGGAAGCTGCTATCCAGAGATTAGGAGCTAGATCAAGAAGTTGCCACTACATCCATTATTTATTGATATCTAGAAAGCGTCAAGAAAACACCTTCATAACAAACAGCCACAGCAGTGTGACTGCTGCCCTATTGCCACATTTCATACAAAGGCATTCAGTGGTGGAGCCTAATTCCCACACGGCATCCTAGCAGCTGCATGGAATGATGGAAACTGATGTGGAGAATCTGTGGAAAAGCTTTCCAAACTTGCAAGTGGAAGGTGGTGAAATAGAGGTTGATTCTACCAATGAAGATTCTACCATTGTAATGTAATTAATTGCTCACCAGTTACTTTAAAATAGGGATTGACTTGAGTGAACCCTCCCCTCCCCCTTGCCAAATTTACCCAGCAAAGCTTTCTGATTTGTTTGTTTTTCATCAGGTCTGGGCCGAGCCTATGCCCTGGCTTTTGCAGACAGAGGTGCATCAGTTGTTGGTAAGTTGATATATTTTGATAACTGAAGTACAGATTTCACAGGCTTTTCTCTTTATATCAAATAATTTGTCAAGGTCAAATTTTATCCCTGATTTTTTTTTCTCCCAACAGATTCCCGCCCGCCCCCCACCCCAGGCTCACTTTAGAACTTTCTTTTAAAAGTTTATTAGTTTCACAAAAATTGCAACTTAACAGAATTGACATAGATGAATGTTGCAAATTGTGGACTGTAATTTTTGAGCTAGAAGGCTCACCTACTGGTGCAAGACAAGTCCTTTTTGGTCCGAATGTACTCGTAAGAATAACAAGTGTGCTTTGAGAACTGGAGTTTGGAGTTTGGGAATCTAAAGAATGGTTTTTTAAAACAACTTTTTTTTTTTTTAAAGATTTATTTATTTATGTATACAAGGGGTACAGGCCAGAGGTGTGGGGGGTGAGAGGAGTCACCAGAGTGGGGAACAGAACAGGCAGATTGACTGACGTACGATGCTGAGGGGAGCAGCAGGCGGGGCAGGAAAGGTCTGCTGTGCCATGTGTGTAGCTCCCTGGCTGCGGATCGAACTCGTGCTGCAGAGGCTTTGGATAGCTTCATAGGTTGCGTCTTAACCCCTTGCACCACCAGGGAGACCTTAAAACAACCTTTTTCATCAAAATTAATTGAAGGGGCAGTTGCATGGGTTTCTGGGTGGGGGAATCAGTTGGAAGCTGTAGTGTTGAACAACCTCCAAATCTTAAATGTTTGGATGGGCCTGATTTACTTGACACTTGGTGTGGACATGGGAGTGCATTGATTTATAACCAAGCCTTTTGTGGGGAAAAACTGAATAAGTACTCAGGGCAAGCTGGGTGAGTAGGGCAGATGTTTTGGTCCAATACTTATTAGTGTCTTTCCTGGAAAAAAAAAATTATTGACCCACAATGTCCACCCAATCCAGTTTGTCTGCATCTTTTTAGGGAATACAGAGACAAATTTTCACCATTTTATTTATGGACACATGTATAGCAGAAAAGCAAGTAAGCAAACAGGTTTTCTAACAAAGAGGAACCAAGCAGGACTCAACATAAATTATGTTGAGGGAACATAAATCATGTTCCCTCCATGTGGATGTGTAGCTTATCTTTGTGGAAGGCATACAGACATTTGATATTATTTAAGTTCACAGCTGCCATTGGTCAATCCACATTCCTCTTATCCTCAAAAGGTGTGTAATTTGGCCTGGTTTCCCCAAGAATATTTCATGTTGGGGCCTAATGACCCAGTTATTCCTGTTTTTTCTTAGTGTGTCTATTGATTTTCTCATTGCCTTGTGGTCATAGGGATGGTATTGCAACAATTGCTGGGGAACATGCAGAAGGTCTGTATCTTGGAAGAGTATTTGTCAGACCTGGCTGAAAAGCCAGATTTATTTTAGTTCAGGGAAGACAGTCTGCTTGAAATGGCAAAACTTTTAGCCAGTGCTTTCTACTGCTCTGCAGTCTGTGACCTGCCTGTGAACATTCCAGGCTGCAGTGTGTCAGGTTCTTCTCTAATCACCACCACCTTCTGCTTTGCTTTTTTAAACACAGATACACTGCTTGCTTCCAGGTTGCATCACATGCACTAACATTTGTCCTGTGTTATTTTTGCCCTGTTCAGCATGTTTTTCTACCTGAGTAAGCAAAAAATAGTAAAGAGAAATAAGCAAACCTGCAATGTTACGTTAAAGTATCTTGTTTGTGGTAAAGTGACTTATCAGATAATTCTCTATTTCAGAGGCCTGTGGAAGGTCCTTGAGAAATACAATAACTTTAATGTTACATAAGTCAACTTTCGCCTAGATTAGGCTAGGTTACAAACAAATCTCAGTGGCTTATAGTAAAGGAATATTTCATGTTTGTGTGACCTTTGAACTTCTAGTTCACTATGTCCACTCTGCAAATCTTTCCAATTTCAGAACCCCAGCAGAAGGAGTAGCTCTTAGATCTGGGACTTTGCTGTTCGTGGGGCAGAGGTAAAAATAATAATTGGGCACTTGAGCCTCTTCTTCTATTCAGAAGTGGCATGTACACTTCACAGGCCAAGGTCAATCATTTGGCCAAGCCCAAAGTGAGGGGTGTCACTTAGGATATTCTATAATTTCATGTTAAAATGATTGTTATGTTTTACATTCATAATTATAATTCATTATCAAAATTTTAAATCTAGATATAGGAACTGCTACACCTTTGGCTGATGAATTTTTTTTTAAAGTTTTATTTATTTTATACAAGAACTGGGGTACAGGCCAGATGCGCGGGAGGGTGAGAGGATCCACCAGAGATAGAGCGGGGAACAGAACAGGCAGACTGATGAAATACACTGCTGAGGGGAGCAGCGGGCGAGACAGGGGAGGTCTGTCCCGCCAGTGGGACCCTCGCTGGCTGGCCGGGATCGAACTAACACTGCAGAGGCTGTGGACAGCTTCACAGCACCTGCACCACCAAGGGAGGCCCTGGCTGATGAATTTTAACAAGTGACCTTTGGTTTGGTATGAATTAAATTTTTCAGGAAATGTTTGCACATATCTAAAGTACATGTTGGGAATGCAATAATTTTGAGATGAGCCGTATCTAGGTTTCCTGAAAATTGTTAGGTTTTATCTTGAGGGCATGAACACAACTAAAATTGGAACTGAATTGTTCCAGTAAGAATAGCCTTTTCTTTGACAGTAAGAAAGGAGAATGTTTTCTGTTTTTGAACTGGGGGAGTAATACCTTTGGGTAAATGAAATTATAATCCTTTAAAGTAAGATTGACATGCTTTCTTTTCTGTGCTGCAGTTACATAATAACTGCTAAAACTTAGTCTTCAGTTCATGTGGTCTGATGCTGGGCTCTGTGTTTGTAACCATTTGTGATCCTGCAGCCAAAATGTCAACTGTAATGAGGAATACGAATTGCCCTTGACGGTCAGGCTTCAAATCCTGACTCAGCCGCCTCATTACATGACTTTTCTGAATATTAGTGGCCATCCTACTCAATTTCTAGGATGAAGGTGGGCATTAAATGGCCAAAAATTAAAGCCCTTCGTTAAGGGAAAAGACAGGAGCCCATGCAATATTGGTGACTACTTAACCGCATGCCACATGCTGTGCTCAAGGACTAATGTATGGAAGTGAACTTGAGGTCTTGTTCTCTCAGGGGCCATCCCAGCCCCCTAATATAAAACACATTTCTCTTACAGATGCTTCAAGGAAAGGGCTCACTGGTGTATTCTTTTCAAGGGTAACCACAGTGCTTTGCTTCATAGTCAAGCAGGAAAACAGGAGGAACTACTTACAGTAAATTGAAGCAGTATCGTGAGCCCAGACTGCAAGGGATGTTGAACGTTAGCAGAGAATAATAGGGTTGGCACAGATTTTGAACAAGTGATTGACTTAGCATAAGGGCTGCCTTAGTGCCACTGCCCAGCAACCGTCTGCTGATAGTGATGATTGGGGGAAACACCTGGAAGGCACCTGAGGTAACCTCTCTTGCAGTGACAGAATTCGGAAAGAATAGGCTCAGACATTTCTTAGAAGTGGAAATTGCTCGTTGCAAAAGCCATCTTACTACCTTAAGGGCCTAAATTGCCCAGCATAGTGGTGTATGCAATGGACACACAGTGAACCTTTGAAGTGGGAACATAGTGCACATTTGGAAGCATCATAGGAAAATCAATAAGACCTAATGGCTCAGTGACTTTGGCTGTTCAGAAATGGGACAAGGGTAAACGCCAGCATAGATGTGACACTGGGAAGGTGAGATAGTTCGAGGAAGATGGTAATCGGTTTGGGTTACATTCGTTCCCTCTGAGAACTAGAGGTGAGATATATTCCCTCAGCTGATGCAGCAGCCCTGGCATCAGGAGACCCAAAGCATGTTTCTTACAATAGTCATCGGAGCCAGTAGTCAGAGAAGGCTGGGGTGAAGGACAGAGAAAGAACAAGAGAAAAGCTTCTAAGAGCAAAGACCTGTTCGGCAAATAGAATCGCTAACGGCTGATCCAGATCTCTCAATCTGATGTACCTAACAAGATACCTAGAAATGATGTCCATAATACTCAGGTTCAGATGCTTCCTCTGTTTCCCTCAGCATTTCAGTAAAGGAATGTATGGCCTGTAACAAGACAAAGAATTAAAAAACCTTTTATTTAGTAAAGGATACCTAAAAGCCTGTAAGAAAGAGAAATGTTCCGAATGAAGTATGATTAAACAATAATACAATTAATAAGCCCATAAAATAAAAAATGTTGCTTTAATAGTACTCAAAGAAATACAAATTATTATTTTCCATTGAATAGTGACATTGCTTATAATAGTAAAGCCATACAGCATATTACATTACATTCCTCAGCAAAAGTCTAATTTCTGTCCCTCACCATGCTGTCGATCCCTTTTACCCTTTTACCTGCCTCCCTTAACGCTTGCCTTCTGGTCACAACTATTGTTCTTTTAGTCTAAGAATTTTTTTTTTTTTAAGATTTATTTATTTATTTATACAAGCACTGGGTACAGTCAGAAGAGCGGGAGGGTGAGAGAATCCACCAGAGCGGGGAGCAGAGCAGGCAGACAGACAGAGGACACTGCTGAGGGGAGCAGCGGGCGCCGCAGGAGAGGTCTTCGTGCCATGTGGGGTGGGACCCTCGCCAGCGGCCGGCGAGCGAACCGGCCCTGCAGAGGCTGTGGGTAACTTCTCAGCCCAGTGCTCAACCTGGGAGGCCCTGTCTTTTTCTTCACTGTTTTTGTTTTTTTTTTGAGTTGTTTTCCATTGTGTAGCTCTATATCCCACCCTTAATCCACATCTGTTGATGGACACTTAGGTTGTTTCCGACTCCTGGCTATTGTGAACAAAGCTGCGGTGAACAGGGGATGTGTAAATCTCATCATATTAGTGTTTGCCATTTCTTCTGTTAGTACCTGGAAGTGGGATAATTGGATTATGTGGTAATTCTATTCTTAATGGTTTGCGGAATGTCCACACCACTTTCAACAGTATTTGTACCGATTTATGTCTCTACTGTTCCACATTCTCCTCAACACTTGTTTCTTGTCTTTTTGAAAATAGCCATTCTCACAAGTGTGAGGTGATACCTCATTGTTTTTTTTGATTTGCATTTCTCTGACATTCAGAGATGCTGAGCATCTTTTCATATGCCTGAAAGCCATCTGTACCCTTTTTTCTGGAGAAGTATCTATTCAGGTCTGGCATTTTTTAATAGGATTGGTTTTTTTTTTGTTGGTGTTGTTTTATGAATTCTTTATAAAATTGGATATTTACTGTTATATGATTTATTTATAAATATTTACTCTGATATATGATTTGAAAAAAATCTTTTCCCACTTGCAGATTATGTTTTCTTTTTAATGATAGTTTCTGTACAGATGCTTTTTAATTCATTACTGTCTCATTGGTTTATTTTTGCTTTGTTTCATTTGTCATTGGAGAGCTATCCACAGAAACTTCACAAAGGCCAGTTTTGAACAACTTGTCATGTATATTTTCTTCCATGTATTTTATGGTTTCAGGTCTTACATTCAAGTTTTTAGTTCATTTTAAGTTAACTTTCGTGTATGGTGTAAGAGAGCAAATTAGTGTACTCTTTTGCAGGTGGCTGTCCAGTTTTCCCAGCACCATATATTGAAGAGACTTTCCTTATTCTATTTTATAAGAAATATGAATAAAATAAGAAATATAAATTAAAATAGTGACCTATAATTTGTAGTTGTTTAAATCTGATCAAAAAGAATAACAATATCAGATGTAGTAAATCTAGGACCTAGGGAAACAGACATTCTCACAAATACCTGGTCCTGTATTTAGGTGGGCTATACCTGATAATGTATTTAGGTAATTATTTACCTATGTATCAGTTCTAAGTATTTTAAAATTCCCTGGATCTTTATATCCCCTCTCCAGTGTTTGGCCTATAGCATGTATTTAATAAAACTGTCACTCCATTTTTAGGGGAAAAATTGTACTTTATAATAGACTGTTTAAGTCATTGATTTGGTTAAAATGATAGAAATAGGCAAGATATTTTATGTATTTAAAAAACCCTTCAGAGTTATAAAATGGATTTGTATGGAAGACTTATGAATATAAAACATTTTGGCATATTTTCATGGTTTCTGCTGAAGACTCCTTAACTGTCATATTTTTACCATTTTCCCTACCTAAACTTGCAATGGAATGACGGTTTTCTTGTTATCTCTATACCCTCCTCTAACAAATGATTTTTAGATTTTTTAGTGGGAATCATTATGTTCATTTTAAGTAAAAGAAAATTGCTCAAAGCATTAGAAGAGCAGAGTAGCATTGTAGCAGGTTCAACTTCTAGACTAGGTCTTGCCATTTTGTGAGCCCTCTCTTGCCTCAGAGCAGGGGGGCAAGTTGCCTAACCTTTCTCAAGCTGTTTCTTCATCTGTGAAAGTAGGAAAATTTGTTCTTGCCAACTTGCTAAAAAGCTGCAGAGGTCACAGTCAGCAAGGAACATAATGGTTCTTTGGAAATGTAAGGTGTACACATATCAGTATAAGGTGGTGATGGCATTTAAAAAGAATTTTTATTTCTTTTTTTCCTTCTTAATTGTTTTATATCATTGTAGCCATACATTTAATCTGTAACAGTGTCACTAGTGTGGATACATTTTTCTGGGTACAACTGCCAAGAATCTTTTAACACTGTTACTCTCAAAGCTGTTAGTCTTACCTAGTCAAGGTTGTAATCCCTGTGATTTAACCCTGTGATAGTGGGATGAATGTTTAGTGCTCTGGAATGCAGAGATTTATCTTGAGTAAGTCTCTTCTGATACTGTTGCACTGCATGTTACTGATCTCAGTAAACTGCTTATCTCTGCTTCAGTGTTTACCTGTTTGCTTGCACTTTGAACAACTTCCACTTGAGGGTAGTGTTTCATTGCAGAAGTGCACAATTGTTCTTTAGTTACTTAAATACAGGTTTTGCCAATTTGCTTTTAAATGGTTCCTTGCTAAATTAAAGACCGCGTTTCTTAAAAATCTCGATTTAAAAAAAAAACAAAACTGGTTGCTTATTGCCATTTGACTAATTATGTGGAAATAAACAACAGGAACTCAGTCTTGGAGAATCTTACCACTTTTTTCATCTCTTTAGGGCTAGCGTTAACCTATGGCCAGTAATTTGTTTCTTTGCAACAGTTCTTATTTGCAGTAAGGCCGATCAGACTATATTGCTAAGAAAACTGTGTCTCCAGTTCATGTTGTCAAAAACTCATTTCCTTCAAAACATACTTAAATAAAATTACTTTTGACTTAGCTGATTTTAAGCATAGTGAGGCTCTCTGACTTTTTATCTGTATCATTTATTTATCTCCTTTGTCACCCATCCCCATTTCTTACAGCTCTCACCCCAATCCAAAAACAGGGGACTTTTCTTCAGCAGAAAGCAAACTTTGTTTCCTTTTCAAATGTGGTATATAGCATCAGTTTGGTAATCTTAAAAGACTTTAATATTCATTACATGCCACTATGCCTCTTGTTAATTTCTAATTGTTTTTTTACATTAATATTCCACAAAATCAATGCAGTAACCCTGCAAAATGATCATTTAATAATGCAAATTAATTTTTGTAATCCCAAGTATTTTTCCTGAATTATTATTTTCTAGGTTATTTGGGATTGTATTACTTGGTATTTTGTTAGTTTTTTCTTTGAATGATATTTTGTAAATTTTACTTTAAATTGTGTATAATTTTGTTTTGTTCCTCTTAATTAGTTATGTTGGTCTTCATATACTTTATGCTGTTATCTTACATTACCAGTGTCAGTACATACTTAACTTTAAATAAACTAAATTCTTTAAAAACAGGCACTAATCTTAGATTTCCTTGTAAATAGTTAACACTCAAAGTTTGCATCTACATAATTGGATACAGGGAGATGTTATTTGGGAGGTCATTTGTTAAACAGATAAAGATGGAGCAATTGTATAAATTAGTGGCTAAACACATGTTCTTTCTATATGTAATTTTTGACCTCTAAATAGGCAATTTTTATTTCTTTCATCATAAATCATAACATTGAATTTTGTCTGAAAATTTATAGAAAAAGAAAAAGGATTCTTTACTTAGAAAAGATATGTTATGTGTGTTTAACTATTTTTTTTTTATTATTGTGCTTAGAGTACTTAATAGGAGATTTGCCTTCTTAACAAATTGTTAAATATACACGACAGTATTATCAACCCTAGGGCTTTGTTGTACAGCACATCTCTGGAACTTACTCATTTTATATTATTAAAACTTTGTGTACATTGATTAGCAAGTCTCCATGTGTCTCCCCCAACCCCCTGTCCTCTGGCAACTGCCATTCTACTCTCTGATTCCATGAGTTTGACTATTTTAGAAACTTTCATGTAGGTGGAGTCCTGCAGTAATTGTTCATCTTTTGCTAGATTATTTCATTTGCCATAATGTTTTCAAGGTTCATTGATATTACACAATTGCTTCCTTTTAAAGGCTGGATAATATGCCACTGTAGGAGTATATCACATTTTCTTTATCCATTCATCCACCAATGGAGCATTTAGGTTTTTGCATCTTGGCTGTTGTGAATAGTTTTGCAATGAACATGTGATGACTATGTCTTTGAGATCCTAAGTTCATTACTTTTGAATAAAGATCTCAGGGGGATGGCCACATCACACTGCCCTTGTATTTTCAATTTTTTGAGAAACCTCTATGCTGTTTTCTTGTGTGTTTAATCTTAAAAATGATTTTCATGTTTGGTTTTTTTGGTCTTTTTTACTAAAAACTTGAGCGATGTTCTTTTTTTTCCCAAAAAAAGGGTAAAGTATTGCAATGTTAAAGATTTTATGACATTGGGCCTCCCCTGGTGGCGCAGATGGTTGAACCCAGCACTGTGAAGCTGTCTGCAGCTGGGCTTCCCCTGGTGTTACAGGCGGTTGAGCGCAGCACTGTGAAGCTGTCCGCAGCCTCTGCAGCGCCAGTTTGATCCCGGCCAGCGAGGGTCCCACATGTGCGGCAGACCTCTCCTGTCTTGCCTGCTGCTCCCCTCAGCAGTGTATTTCGTCAGTCTGCCTGTTCTGTTCCCCACTTTGTCTCTGGTGAGTCCTCTCACCCTCCAGTGGATCTGGCCTGTACCCCGGTTCTTGTATAAATATATAAATAAATCTTTAAAAAAAAACTTACATTAAAAAAGAAAAAAGATTTTATGACACGAGTTCTGTTTATTTTTGCAGTTTCATATATATTTAAACAAAGAAGCATGTCTTGCAAGTGTGTATCTCCTGGTGTGTTTGGGTAATGAGGATAGAATAAGAGGGAATTGGGCAGATGGCTGAAAAAATACACTAATAATAGAATTTCATTTCCAACTCATATTTTGAAGATCTAGAAATGAATTTTTGTTTGTTTGTTTTTGTATTGCAGTGAATGATTTAGGAGGGGACTTCAAAGGAGTTGGAAAAGGCTCACAGGCTGCTGCGGATAAGGTTGTTGAAGAAATAAGAAGAAGAGGCGGGAAAGCAGTGGCCAACTACGGTATGATATTTGAGAGAACTACACTATTTCTCTTCTTTCAGCCAACATTGTTGCTCACATTAACCACTGAGCAAATATCTCAGTGCTTCTGTGTAATTATGAAATTAGATTTTAGTCAGTCAAAGGTCTTGGCTATAATTTTTTATAATGTTTCAGAATTTTTCAAAGTTTCGTCTAGATTATTTCTTGAGCCTATCTTTTATTCTACTGTTCATTTTATATTTTTATTCATGAGCAAATGATATAATCAGTAAATTGTATATGTGGATATGAGTATGTCCTTGTTCATAAAAGACCTATTTTAGCCACAAGATCTTAGGTGTTTCTACGGAATGACATTACATTCTTCTTATAAAATTGTTTTTAAAAATTCATAAACTTATATACTACAAGAAGTGAAAATGTTCCCTTTTTGTACCTAACTTCTATGTTCTATCTGCACACATAATTATTGCTATATGTAACATTCATATCTTTATAAAAACTTACATGTCAAAGTTAGCCATTAAAGTATAGCCATGTGATAAATAGCTAATGCAATCTTTACATTTGATACACTGATTCTGATAGTTTTTAAGGCATTTCTTGAATAGATATACTTCAAAAATCTAGTGCTTACAGACTTTCCTGCAAATTAGATTTTTTTTTATGGGTCTATCTAGTATAAAATTAGATTTTCAGTGACTTCATTTTGAAAATATAGAAGAAGAAAATAGGATATGGTTTGTTAGGATATGTGTTTGAGGAAAAAATGAGACAGACATTTTGGTTTATTCTTTCCACATTGAGGATCATTTTTGAAAAAAAACTCTGGGGTGTTTTTAAAACAAGTTTGACGGAGATAAGAAAATTCCAGAATTCCTGTCTCTGCCACAGCTTTGATATTCAGCCTGTATCAGTTAAGAATTCTCTTAGGAAAAACAGAAGCCCCTGTAGTTTTCCCAGGTATGAAAGGTTTTAATGCAGGGAAAATGATCTTAACCATTAGGCTACATAACTATTGCAAGGTCTGGACAAATGCATGTTGGGCAAACTGTCGATGGCCTTATTAGCTTGATTCTGAAGAGCTCATCTGGATGTGCTGCCAGTCTTAAATTTGCAATCTGCTTACAAGATTGCTTCATCTTCAGGCTTCTGTTTTTCTATCCTCTAGGTAAGTATCTCCTTTTGGAAGATCTAATTCTGGACTATATGTACCCCAGGGAAGAGATTTTTGTTTCCTGGCTCCTCCTCTGTGATTGTAGAGAATATGGTGCTAAGGTTTGATTGACAACTGCCACAGTTCTGAGGATATGAGCACTTCCCCTTCCCCTGGACTAATAAGTAGAAAATAATAAAGCCATAATATTTTATTCAGATTCACTCTTAAATTATTGTCAGTCATGTATGTATTGCAGAAATGTTGGTACTTGTGTTGTATTGAACATGCTCTTACTCCCAAATTCTGATTTGCATCTTTAAGGTGAAGTGTCTTTGTAGCTATTTAAAATTAAATTTAAACTAAATGAATTGAATATTCAGCTTGTCTATTGTACTAGCCACATTTCAAGTGTTCAATAACCACATCTGTTTACAGGCTACCAGATTAGTGTTGAAATAGGATATTTTCATTTCAACAAGTTTTATTAGTGTTCTTTTACGTAGTATTTGTCAGCTATCTCTAATTTGTCCCCTTTCCTTTTTTTGTACATTAAAATTTCTTCTGAAGAGCTGTATTTCTTTTGTAATAATAGATGATGTGTATATATATTTTTTAAAGATTTATTTATTTATACAAGCACTGGGTACAGTCAGAATCGCAGGAGAGTGAGAGAATTCACCAGAGCCAGAGCGGAGAGCAGAACAGGCAGACTGACAAAGTACACTGCTGAGGGGAGCAGCAGGTGGCAGGAGAGGTCTGCTTGCCATGTGGGACCCTCACCCATCGGCTGGGCATTGAACTGGCGCTGCAGAGGCTGCAGGGAGCTTCACAACCCAGCGTTCAACCGCTGTGCCACTGGGGAGGCCCTGCTGTATATTTTGATGTGTTGTGTGCTTGCAGTATAAATCTATTTTTCTTGGAAATGAGTTTTTTTTTTAAAGATTTATTTTTATATAAGAACTGGGGTACAAGCCAGAGGCATGGGAGGGTGAGAGGATTCACCAGAGACAGAGCAGGGAACGGGACAGGCAGGTGGACCGAAGACACTGCAGAGGGTAGCACCAGGTGAGGCAGTAGAGGTCTGCCGTACCATGTGGTTATCTCCTTAGCCGGCTGGGAATTGAACCCGCACTGCAGAGGCTGTGGACAGCTTCACAGAGCTGCACTCAACCCTCTGTGCCACTGGGGAGGCCTGGAAATGAGTTTTGTTGAGTGAATAATATCTGTCATGTGCCCCGACCCACAAAATTTAGAAGTAGCTTGTGATGATATTACTGAAATTTTTTATTAATTTCCTATTTCCTTAGACTCGGTGGAAGCAGGAGAAAAACTTGTGAAGACAGCCCTGGATGCTTATGGAAGAATAGGTGATGTTTCTTTTATTTATGATACTAACAGATTAGCTTCAGTCTTCCTAATAAAATATTTTGTTTTTACTTTTTTTTATTAAATACTCCCTTGTGATAATTAAAGTTTTAGATTTGTTAAACATATGAATAGTTTTACATACCCTTCCTGTTCCACAAAGGGATTGAGGTAACAATTTTTATGTGTATATGTGTTGAGCTTATTTCTTTTGTTCATTTTAAGAACTTTAAAAATTTTTAAGCACTCTTCTAAGTCCCTATTTATAATAATTAAATTGTACAGTAAATATGTACAAAAATAAAAACTTAATTTTTTAAAATTATTTTGGTGGTGAACTTCCCTGTGGAACAATTCTGATAGTTACAATGATTCAGGTTAAGATGATTCAGTGTTTTGCAAATTCATTACGATGAATTATATATAATAAAAATATAGTTAGTTTTTCCTTCTTAGCTAATCTTCTAGTTTAGTTCCACATATCTTAATAGAAGATTATTGAATTACTAGAAGGAAACATTACAGAAGATAAGCCCAACATGAAAAACAATTCTATTAATTTGCATTTTCTTCGCCCCCTTTTTGGGGTCTAGCATATTTTTCTAATTATGTTTGGTTGTGCTCCTAAGAGACATTTTTTGTAAATCATCTCACTGAGGGATGCGGACCACAAAGGTGTGAAGTCATAGTATAAAAAATAGCCATAAGATGGTGATTGTACCTTAAAAAATAATTCCTTTCTTTTCATAGGGAGAACACAATTATGTGTTAAGATGCTCAGTTTTTTTTTTTTTAAGATTTATTTATTTATACAAGAACCGGGGTACAGGCCAGGTTTGCGGGAGGGTGAGAGGATTCACCAGAGACAGAGTGGGGAACAGAACAGGCAGACTGATGAAATACTCTGCTGAGGGGAGTGGCAGGTGAGGCAGGAGAGGTCTGCTGTGCCATGTGGGTATCTCACTGGCTGGTGGGGATTGAACTGGCACTGCAGAGGCTGCGGACAGCTTCACTGCACTGTACTCAACCACCTGCACCACCGGGGAGGCCTGCTCTGTCAGTTTTTAACTCTAAATTAGGTTTTCTACTTTTGAGTGGCAAAGAAAATCTTTTGAGCTTTTAACTTTAGTGTGAATTTTGAGGTTAGATGATGGATAACTTATGATTAATAAGCAATAGTTAATTTCATTAATAAGATAATAGAATTCTGGCAGAAGGTAGAGGTGGAAAAATTTCAGATCTCTAAGTTTGAGTGCAAAGTGTCGACTTAATGTGATACTTAATGTGATACTTGTGCTTTTGTTAATCAGATGTATGTGTGTATTTATTTGGTATAGGTATAAAGTTTGTTATAACAATCTATTATGTATAATTTTTTATGTGAAAAATCCCTAAATTTGAAAGAAATATGAGTTGTATGCAAATGCAGATTAAAATGCTTGCATGTTTGTTTTATATTTGTGACTTGGATCATTTTCTATTGTAGATGTTGTGATCAACAATGCCGGGTGAGTGTTTCTTTTTTCATTTTCAGATAAATTATGTGCATGCATGCCCCCCCGCCCCAAGAATATACTCCCTCCCCACCTAATCTATATAATATTAATTTCTTAGAATTCTGAGGGACCGTTCCTTTGGTAGAATAAGTGATGAAGACTGGGGTAAGTCATTTTTAATATATCATCCTGTAAACCATACCTGTCCATTTAGTCTCTTAATATAGGATAAGTTTATCACTTTAGGAAAAAACTTGTTTCTACTTATTTTTGCTTCTGCTAATATGATGAATAAGCTTTTTAGCTGAAAACAATGAATACTTGGAGGTAGGCTACATTTTTCTAACATTTGATGAATAAAATTTTAAATCTCTTGGCAGAAGTTATCCAAAACAATTTTGTGCCTTTTCTTTTTTTCTCTCTTTCTCCCTGAAGCATTTTCTAACAGTATTAACAGTCTTTAGGATGTCTGTTGGTGTGTGATTCTTATTTCAAGAGTAAGAGCAGGATATGGAAGGGCATCTTATACCTCCCAGGTGGGAGAGGCCTCAGCATGGAGTGGGGAAAAAGTTGTTGCAACTTTGAAGCATCTCATAAATAGGATTATCTTCCATGATGAATGCCTTGTTGGGAAGATTGAATGTAGATGATAAATCACAGTCACAATTTCCTCTTTGTTTTACTTTTGCTCCTTATGCTTCTTTCCCTTTATTTCCATTGGCCAGCAAAACTAAAACAATCAGTGATGGCTGAGAAAGTGGCAGACCTGGAAACTGAGGTGAATTAGACAGTGTTTTCAGAGTGTGCCTCTGGGAAATGTTATCACAGCAATACTTCTTAGAATTAAACCATGAGGAACTTTCAGCTTCGTCTTTTGTTGTAATAACCACTCTAAGAACTAGGCTGAGGAAGAAGAGGTACTTTCCTCTTGTGGGGATAGGTATTTCCCTCTGGTTTCAGGGCTTACTGCTTTCTTCTAATATACACACAAAAACATTTGCGGAGGCCACAAATTGAAACACATGTAAAAATGTTTAAAAATGTCATAATTAAAAGAATAATATTAAACTTAATATTGTCTACCTAAAATTTACCCCAAATTGTCTAGCCTTTGGGTTGACATCTCTAAAAACGGCCTTCTTTCTCTCTCATTTTAAAGATATTTCTTGATGGTGAACCATGTGGTTCATCTTTAATGTCTTATGATAATGCTTTAATGTTTATGTTAAGTCCCAATTATATATGTAACATTCTTAGTATTTGTATTAGTGAATTTTTATATAAAGTAGGCATAAGGTAAAGATGACATTCCATTTTAGATGCATACATGATTACAATAACTTCATCTTAAGTTTTGGCGAAAACAGGTAAGAACTATTGATTGTTGTACTTGGAACAAAAATTACAATGGTAACTCAACAGAGTGTGTCTATAGTTAATTTTAAATATTATAAAATGAACATCTTTGTATAAGTAAGTCATCTCTTATATTGCAACTGAGATATGTCTATCTAATTTTTGATAAAATACGTAGTAATGATAATGATTTCTTACTTTAGATCTGATCCATAGAGTTCATTTGCGTGGCTCATTCCAAGTGACCCGGGCAGCATGGGAACACATGAAGAAACAGAAGTTTGGAAGGTAGAACTGCATGTGGCTGCCAAGCAGGGTTGGAGATGTTGTGTGGGTTATTGGGTATTGGGAAGGGTTGTTATTTTGACATTGAGGAAAACGTGTTCACATGTACACAGACTTTTAAAATGTAGTTTTGCCACATATACTCATTAAATTGGTATTAATCACAGATTAGCAGAGCAGGATAGCTTTATATTTCTTTCCATCTGCTTTTCATTATTAATAATTTTCTTGCTGTCCTCTGGCATTTTAGCTGCACACACATTGAGGATTTAGTTGTTCTTCATCCTCTAACAAAATTATCATTTTGTGTGTTCAGTAATGAACGGAGGAGAGATAACTGTTTTCTGCTACTTGGTACTGGCCAGGTATGCCTTAGTGTCTGTCAACTATTTAGAAACTCTAAAATCTCATCGTTACCTCTGTGTCAGTGGCAGAGCTGGTGCCTAAGGTAGCTTCATGCATTGTAGCGTAAGGAGCATTTCTGTTAATTTAGGATTCACACACATCTACTAGAAATAAATCATCTATGGTACCTGTTCTTATGGGACAGTTCTAGTTTATCCTGATCTTAGTACTTTCTGGAAGTAAATTATACTCATTTCACTTGGTTTATTAAGCAGAGTGAATGAGATTTGGCCAGATTTTGAGATGGCATTGTTTGAGTATGAGGCATTTATTCAATATTATCCAGAAAAAAGAGGGGCAAAATGATGAGGACTAAACAATTGAATTGCTTGATGTTTCTTGGTAAAATTTTTACTTATATATTACAATTTATTTTTGTTTATAAGTGTTTATCATTGTTTTCAATAGATAATGAATAGGTATTTTTATGCTTGGATACATTTGGTCCTGGCCAGCCATTCTTTTTAAGAGAGTTAAATCTCATAGTTGAATGTTGAGAAATTACTTTCATGAGAATTTAGATACATAAATTTTTATTGTGAAAATCTAATGACAGTAGAATTGTTTTTGACAGGTGTAGTAGTATTGAAAAAAATGAAAGAGTTGCAACATTTAAGATGATAATGAGAGATTAATTTTCTTTTAGGATCATTATGACTTCATCGGCTTCAGGAATATATGGCAACTTTGGCCAGGCAAATTATAGTGCAGCAAAGCTGGGTCTTCTAGGTCTTGCAAATACTCTTGCCATTGAAGGCAGTAAAAGCAACATTCATTGCAATACTATTGCTCCTACTGCTGGATCACGGATGACCCAGAGTGTTTTGCCTGAAGGTAAGTCAGATTTTTCAGTGCTGTTATGTATAAATTTCTGTGGAGTGAATTTTACAAAATAATTTAATTTTCTGAATTTTTTTTAAAAGATTTATTTATACAAGAACTGGGGTACAGGCCAGAGTCAAAGGAGGGTGAGACAGAGACAGAGACAGAGCAGGGAGCACAACAGGTAGATGGACTGAAAACACTGCTGAGGGGAGCAGCTGGTGAGACAGGAGAGGTCTGCCGTGCCATGTGGGTATCTCTCTGGCCGGCTGGGAATCGAACCCATGCTGCAGAGGCTGCAGACAGCTTCATAGTGCTGCGCTTAACCCACTATGCCACCAGGGAGGCTCAATTCTCTGAATTATTAAAGAAATTGTTTTCCTTAGCATTTAAAAAAACATCATGTATAGTTTGTGTTTCTTATGGAAAATTTAGACAGACACAAAGGACAAAATAAAAAAATGACCCATAAATTTGAGATAAACTTGCAACTCTTTTTTTTTTTTTTTTTTTTTTAAAATATTAAATTTTATTTTTATATTCCCCCATACAATTGCAAACGCCCCATTCTGACCCCAATCCTTCCCCTCCCGCCCCCCACCCCCCAAAAAGTGTCTCTGGTTCATAGTTTTTTTGTTGATTTTGATTTTCACTTTCTTATATTCATTTTCCTGGTCCCTTATTTAAGTTTTCTAGATTCCTGCTATGAGTGAGACCATCCGGTATTTTTCTTTTTCTTTTTGGCTTATTTCGCTGAGCATGATCCCTTCCAGCGCCATCCATGTTGCTGCAAATTGCATGTGTTTATCTTTTTTGAATGCTGAGTAATATTCCATGGTATATATGTACCACATCTTCTTGATCCAGTCATCTATTTTTGGGCATTTGGGTTGTTTCCAAAGCTTAGCTATTGTAAACAGTGCTGCTATAAACATAGGAGTGCAGGTGCTCTTTGGAATTGATGTTTCTGTGTCCTTTGGGTAAATACCTAGGAGTGGAATTGCTGGATCATATGGAAGCTCTATGTTTAGTAGGTCCAGAAATCTCCACACAGCTCTCCATAGTGGTTGGACCATAAACTTGCAACTCTTTTTCTCTATGATATTCGGTGGGCTTTTTTTTTTTTTTTATAAAGTGCAGTAATAACATTCTTACTGTTTTATTATCATAATTATATTAAAAATTAATAGAATGTATTTTTTAAACAGTGTTAGGTCTATAGAAAAAAAGGTTTTCTTATTCTTCCCCTCCGATAGTTTTCCCTTTACTAATCGTGCATTATGGAACTGCATTTGTTATATTTGATAAGCCATTATTGATTGTTTATCATTAACCGGAGTTGATAGGTAACATTAAGACTTGCTTTTTGTCTTGTACAGTCACTGTTTGTAGAGTTGCATGAGTTTTAACAAATGCATAGTGTTATTATCCACCATTGCAGATCCTGCAGAATAGCTTCACTGCCCTAAACATCCCCTTTGTTTCATCTCTTCATCCCTCCACTCTGCTTGAATGTTTGGGAGGATTGAACCTCATTTTATTTTATTATTGAATAATATTCAGTGGTATTATAATATTCACAGTTTGTGTATTCATTCACCTATTGAGGAGTATCTTGGTTGCTTCCAGTTTTTGGCAATTATGAACACTTGCTATTAACATTCACGTACAGGTTTTTGTCTGGACACAAGTTTTCAGCTGTTTAGGTAAATATTAACAAGTGTGAGTGTTAGATTGTGTGGTAAGACTATGTTTTGCTTTGTAAGAAATTTCCCAACTTATCTCAGATAACTTTATTATTTTGCATTCACCCTAGCACAGACAGTTCTTGTTTGTTGCCTTGTCAGCATTTATTGTTGTCAGTCTTTTGTATTTTAATCATAATAGGTATGTAGGGGTATCTCATTGTCTATTCCCTGTGATGTTGTATTTTTTTTTTTGTCAATGCTTCTTTACCATTTATGTTCTTTGTTGATGTGTTTATTCAGTTCTTTTGCCCATTTTTAAATTAGGTTGTTTTCTTATTGTTGACTTTTTTTATTATTAAAGATTTATTTATTTATACAAGCATTGGGTACAGTCAGAAGCGCGGGAGGGTGAGAAAATTCGCCAGAACCAGAGTGGAGAACAGAACAGGCAGATCGATGAAATACACTTCTGAGGGAAGCAGCAGGTGTGGCAGGAGAGGTCTGCGCGCCATGTGGGACCCTCGCTGGCAGCCGGGGATGGAACCGGCACTGCAGAGCCTCGGACAGCTTTGCAGCCCAGCGCTCAACTGTCTGTGCCACCATGGGAGGCCCTTACTGTTGACTTTTAAGAGTTTCTTGAATATATTGTGAACCAGTGTTTTGTCCTTGTGTTTTGCAAATAATTTTTCCAGTTTGTAGCTTGTATTTTTATTTTCTTAGTTTCTCTCATTTTTGAGGAATAATTTTCAAAGGCTACAAAATTCTGCTTGGTAGTTTTTTTTTTCCCCAACATTTTAAATACTTTACTCCACTTTCCTCTTAGTTACATGATTTTATCATGTAAAATTCTCTCCTTATTCCTCTATAGTAAAGGTTTTCTTTCCCTCTGTATTCTCCCAAGATTTTCTACCTTTTTCCACTCTGCAGTTTGAATGTAATATCTTACATGTAGTTTTTTTTTTGGATTTGTTAAAAATAATTTTTATCAAGGCATTTTTTAAAATAATAACTTATTCTTTTAATTGTGGTAACATTAGAATTCTTTCCATCAAGTTTTGCTCTCTTCCCTGCTCGCTTCCCTCTTTAGATGCTTCAGTTTTATAGTAAGTTTTCAAAGATTAGTTTTCAAAGATTAGTAAGGTTATCTTTCTCCATTTGGTTTCTCTATATCTACTTACTTGTGACACCATCTGGTATTTATCTTTCTCCTTTGACTTATTTCACTTAGCATTATCTCTTCCAACTCCATGTTGCCGCAAATGGCGTGAGTTGGTCTTTTTGATTGGTGAGTAGTATTCCATTATATATATATATAATACACACACCACATCTTCATAATCCCTTCATCTGGTTTTGGGCATTTAAGCTCAGTGATTCCTTTTTCATTTGTGTTACATTGTTTTGCAGCATTTCTCAGTCTTTCCATCCCTCTGCTTAGAGTAGTCATCTGTTGTTGCATATTGTCCTTTTTTCCATTAGAACCCTTAGTATGTTAATAGCAATTATTTTAAATCCCCAGCCTGATACTTTCAAAATCTGCTGTATTTGAGTCTGCTTCTGATGCTGGCTTTGTCTATTCAGCCTATATGTGTTTTGCCTTTTAGCGTGCTTTAACATTTTTGTTGAAAGCTGCACATGATATATTGGGGTAATAAAAGTGAAGTAAATAGACCTTTAGTGTGAGTTTTTGTTTATCTGTCTAGGAGCTAGGCTATATCTATTGTTTGCTGTAGCCAGACTTCCATTTCTTCTGTAACCTTGATTTTTGTCCCCTGTTGTCTTTGGGTTTCCCTGTAAACGCTTTAATAGCTTATGTGTCTTGGTCATCTCTCAGTTATGATCCACTGTTATTCTGGAGCCCTGTTAATATGGTTGTAAAGTATGGGGGAAGAAAGTGTTCTATAATCTTATGATTAAATCTCCATTTTTTTTTTTTAAACTGGGACCAGAATCCCTGAACTATCTCCCCCAGAAGAGTTTCTTAGCCTTGTTGTTTTCTTTCCATTGAGACAGGAAGGCTAGAGGGACTCTATGTGTTGAACTGGCCTCCCCTACATTAGATAAGGCTCTGATAGTTTCCCTTGATAACAGTCCTTTGTTCAGGAGGACAGATTCTTCTGGTCATATTTCAAAGTCACTTTTTTTGTTTGGTCTCTCTTTTCCTTTCATTTTCTGTAATATTTCAGAGAAAATCTTTGAATATTTATGGCATCTCAGAGCAAATATACTACATTGTATTTCACCTAATAAATAGTTAGAAATGTAACCCTAACAGATAATGGACCTTACAAGCATAATACTATCATCACACTAAACAGAGTAAATCTATAACATCACCTAGTACCAAAATCATAATAAAATTTCCTAATTATCTAAAAAGATATGTTTTTAGAGTTGATTTATTCCATAAGAATCCAAACAAAGTCAACAGGCATTTTATTACTCTATTTCTTTCTTTTTTTTTTTTTTAAGATTTTTTTATTTATTTATACAAGCACTGAGTACAGTCAGAAGCATGGGAGGGTGAGAGAATTCACCAGAGTCAGAGCGGGGAGCAAAACAGGCAGACTGACAAAGTACACTGCTGAGGGGAGCAACGGGAGGCAGGAGAGGTCAGCACACCATGTGGTACCCGCGCCAGCAGCCGGGGATCGAACTGGCGCTGCAGAGGCTGTGGGCAGCTTCGCAGCCCAGCGCTCAACTGCTGCGCCACCGAGGAGGCCCATTACTCTATTTCTGAAGTTTCATTTAGCTTATAATAGTTTATTCTCCTTTTTAAAATTAAAAAAAAACACAAACATTTATTTGTTGAAGAAACTAGTTCATTAGCCTATATACTGCTCCTAATTCCTGATTTGAGTTGTCTTAGCACTTCTGTGAAAAATGATTCTCTTCTCTATTCCATTGTTCTGTGCCCGTCTTTTTACCAACATGTTTTTTTTTTAATTATCATAGTTTTATAGTAAGTCTTGAAGTCAGAATTTGTGTTTTCCAGCTTTGTTCTTTGAAAATATGTAATTTTACATTTAAAAATTTAAATGTTTGATTGACAGTCTATGCTTATTTATTGTTTACATAATATAACAAATACCTAACTAGTAGAAAACTGCATTTTTTTGACATTGCTAGCTTAAACAACTCTAAAAACAAAGTTGCCTTTATAGTTTAAGAAGTTGCTGTGAAGTGATAAAAAATAATTGAGAGTGAAATTATTTTAAAGCTAGTTACTTCACAGAACACAAATTCACACCAGCATTTACTTTCCACATTTGAGTGAGTTACCCATCATTTCACAACTTGGGAATTCTAAAAACAAGTATATATGTACTGTTGGGCTTTGCGAACAGCTGTGCCTGTCCAATTTTCTTTATTGTAGTATAGCTATTTGGATTTGAAATCTATTTTTTTCCTTATCAAAAGGACCATTTCAAAAATAACCTTATTTAAAAAACTTTTTACTTGCATATTAAATCCTTTAATATCAAAGGATTTCTTACTAAAGAATAAGATTATATAAGGGACAGAATAGAAACCCAAATTATTGTTTTCTTTTTCAATACATATATGTAAGTGCAAAGCAGTGTAACTTACTAGTAAGAAGTAAAGCATCAATATCTAAAGATTAGTCATAAACTCACTCTTACTCAAAAAAATGGAACATTACCGATAAACGTCCATCTAACCCTGTGCCCTCTTTTCTACCCCTTTGCTTCATGCAAAGAGAGAGCCATTATTTATAATTTTGAGCTTATCATTCCTTTGCTAGACTTCTATTTTCGTCACTTTTTGCTGTTAGCTGTAGACTTCTTGGGAAGTAGTAAGTTTCCAAGAAAATATTTAAAATTTCAAGCTTTGGATTTGTTTTTCTTTGAAAATGTAGCCACCATTTATTTGAACAGGTCTGTTCCTCTAGAGACATTAGGTAAATGTTTAGTAGAGTGTTCTTTATTCCACCATACTCTAGTTAAATGAATTTGGAGAATAAGGTCTACTTTCGACGAATGGTTTAATCTTTCTCTTCTGTAAAGTCAGAGAGTTGTTGTAGCTCATTTTTAAAATATCTTTCAGATTCTAAATATCTTTTATATTTAAAGTTTTGTTATAGTTTGGAAAACACTGAAAGTTTATTTTACCTTGCAGCTTTTCTTCTCTTCTACCCAAATAGCTATTTATAGGCTATGAAAGGAATTACTTGTTTAAGAACCAGATGTTATTAGTAATGTATGGAGACAGCTGAGATTTCATTTCCCTCTTTGAAATATATTTGACACATGGAAAGTGATGTATGTATTACTCCTGTTTCTTTCATGAAATAAAACATAATCCTAAAATGAATGCTCTGTAAACTAACTTCTCAGGCTGTAGTAGGTACTTGTTGTTACTTAATAAATTATTCCAAATTAAAAAAAAATTAAAAAAACCAAATACTATCTCATGGTTTCTGGTATTTAGGGTGGCTTAGCCGGACGGTCTGGGTCTCTAGTGATGTTTTATTAACGGTATTCTCTGGGATTCCAGCCATTTGAAACCTTAGCTCGCTTGAAGTTTCTACTGCCAAGCTCATTTTCGCACATGGTAGTTGGGAAGTTCTGTGGGCGCTGTTGTCTGGAGGGCTTAGTTTCTCACCATGTGAGCCCCTGTATGGGACTTCATCCAGAGCTAATGATTTGAAAGAGAGAAACAGTCAAGAGAGAAGCTGCAGTACCTTTTATAACCTAATTTCAGAAGTGGCATAATAATGCTTCCTAGTGGTCAGGTAGACTAAGCCTGGTGCACTGTGGGGGGTGACTATGGGAAGGAGTAAATAAGAGTTGATGAGGATTTCTGGGGCCACCTCACAGACGGGCTCTCATGCAACCCCCAAACTGGGAGGCATTACCAATAACTTGAATCTGTCTTTGTTTTTCTTGCATCCCGATCTCCCTGTTTCCCCCAAATCTTATAATCTCTCTATTTATTTAAGTTTTATTCATTTTTTGTGTAGAAGAACTGGGGTGTAGGCCAGTGGTGCAGGGCATCAGAGGGTTCACCAGAGACCAAGTAGGGAGCAGAACAGACGGATCTACTGAAATAAACTGCTGAGGGGAGCAGCGGGTGAGACAGGAGAGGTCTGCTGTGCCATGTGGTTTAGCTCCCTGGCTGGGGATGAACTCAGGTCACCACAGTGGGCCATCGCGGTGATAGTGTTGAGACTTCACGTCTAGGCCACCAGGGGTCCCTTTCTCTCTTTTAATTGATCAGTTTGTTTTACTTGCATTTGTTTACATATATTGTATTATTGAATATTTGAATTTTATTTACCATTCTTGTTGTGATGTCTGTTACTTCTACTTTTTCTGTGCATGTGTTATTTCTTGTATTTTGATTATTGGCGTTTGTTTCAAAATGTCATTTATGTACTCTTTTCTGTTAAAATGTACATATTCTATTTTAATTCTTTTTATGGTGACCTGAAATAATCTTTTAAATCTGTTTTAAACAGGATAAGCATGTAAGAACTCTTAACCGTAGTCATCCATGCTGTAACTTACACACTATTGCTTTTCATTGTTACTTTTTCCCATTGCTTTACCTAACCTCTACAAATTAGGCATTTTACTCTATCCAGCAGTACCATTACACAGGGCCATTTTACATCATCTTGCTCTCGTCACAGTTGTTGAGGCTGTTTTGTAGTTTTTGGTTAAATAGTTTTGGAAGTGAATGGTACCTGAGCTTCTTGTGTTTTTATTTATGTCTTTGCTCACCATTTTTTGCCTAGGCAGCTCTAATTTTTTCTCCTGAATATTATGTTACGTGTCTTGGAAAAGTATATCTGATGCCTTCAATTTTAGAAACTTGAGAGACCTTTAGGAACATCTCCATTTGGATGAAAAAGTTCTACTAAAAGCATTGAAAATTAGATAAATTAGTGTATTGAATTTTGTTTTTAATATTTATTTAAAAAAACCTGAATTACCTATAAGTTAGGTATTTTCAGAACATAAAATATTTAATATTCTTGTATATTCTTGCTCATAAACTGTTCTCTTTTTATTTCAGATCTTCTAGAAGCTCTGAAGCCAGATTATGTGGCGCCCCTGGTTCTTTGGCTTTGCCATGAGAGTTGCGAGGAGAATGGTAGTTTGTTTGAGGTATTCTGCACTTTCCTGCTTTCTTCTAAAGCAATATTCATATAATTAAATATAAATCATGATTTAAAAATTAGTGTTTTCATAATGCTTACCTTTGTAAAAATCTGTACCAGTGACATTTCTGGTTTTTTTATTATGTGTACATGAGAAAGAATAATTGTTCACTGATGTCCTTTTTAAGGAAAGTAACGCCATAAATCTTGTTTTTCTTAGTTCTTCATTTCTTATATTTGTCCAACTGACAATGTCAGTGGTTTGATATGTTTAGCCAAATATGGCAAATCTCATTTGATTTGAGATGCTGAATGATAAAATAAAAGGATAGAGCTTTAGACTTTTGAGTCAGCAAGTCCAGATTTTGAGTTCTGATAATTGATTTGCTGAAATATTGTACACATTAACCTCCCTGAGCTTTTGGGTTTTTTTCTTTTTTTTTTTTTTTTTTGGTAATGATGACAAGAAATCGTGTTTTCAAAATCTTACCATAGGACTTACACACCAGCCATCAGTTTAGTAGGAATTTAGCCTAGTTGTGATAGACCAGTAAACACAAGTTATTTTTCTTAACATTAAAAGTAATCATTTATATTTGTCTTTATTGTAAAACTTTAAGTGCTTTTCGTGAAAATTACAACCATATATATTCCCACCATCCATCGAAATCCAGTTTTCTTTCTAGGGTCAGGCTTTTTAGATTACTTCATGCACATTTATACATTTTTGATAGCTCATTTGAGCTTTCTTTTTGTTTCTTTTCTAACATCAGGTGTTACATTTTAGATTTCTCACTGCCTTTTTTTGATTCTCTGTGGTAATAATGAATTTGTTATGTGAAGAATACTGTGGGGTTAAAAAATATTTCTTGGTAGCATGAGGACCTCGCTCAATTCGAAGCAAATGACTTACTGGCTTGATTCATTTGAATAAAAAGGGGATGAGTAAATAAAAGCCAGTCCACTCATGTCCAAGCAGAAATAGGTGCCTTTGCTTTCTTTATCACAGGCATTGAATGTGAATAGTAGAAAATGAGAGGTGAAAAGAACTTAACTGTAATTTTACAAAAGAGGGAAATTCAATAATTCAAGCCACCTGCACCTCAAAATTTGACCTGCCACATTTTTGTCTCATTAAGGAATTGAAAAAACTTTTTATTTTCTAAAATTCCATTTATTATTCTGTGAATAAAAATAACACAGACTTTTTGTTTAAAAAATTCAAGTATACAGGGAAGTACACAGAGGGAAATAAAAGTCATCCATTTTGCTACTAACCAGAGATACATTAATATTTTAACGTATTCCCTTCTAGTTTTTATTAGATAGGCATTTCACACAAGTAGTCTTTTTTTTTTTTTTGATAATACCTTTTATACACACATCTAAACATGCACAGTTAGGATCAAGGTGCAGTTGAAGTTCTGTGTTGTTTTTTGCTATATTGTAAACATTTTTAATGGGCATTTGGTATGCATGACTTATGTGTGTAGTATTCTGGCTTAAACTTCAAAAATAAATTGTCACCTTGTGAAGCTTTGATAGATATCTGGGGCAGATATAGATTCTTTGGCTCAGCTAGAGCTACTGTTTCTAGCAACTTCAAGGAGCTTGCAGATTATTACATCACTCCCCAAGTATGAGAAAATATGCCTGATATCAAAATCGCTACTAATTTATCTCCTCTGTCAGCATCCAAACTGATTGGCCCATTATGAAATGTGTGAGCAGGTTAACAAAAAACAGTGGTGCGCTTAGAGCCACTGAGAGGTGTGCTTTTGGTATATTTTCTTTTGTCATGCATGTGGAATTCTCTTGATAAGTTCTGTCATGCTACAGTGTAGTGTCTGAAGATAGGACAGGAAGATACTTGTATTGGACATTTTCTTCTGTGGCTTACCTTGAATGATCTTTAGAAAATAATTTATCTTTCTGAGTAGAGTTAATATATTTGGTCATTTGCCTTATCTCTGTATGAAAGAGGGACATGTATTTTGAGCCTGTGATGCGCTGGGCAATTTTACTTACTTATATTGTTTAACCTTCCTGGTTATCTCATGAAATGTGTATTATTACCCTTAATTTGCGTAGTAGGAAACTTGGATTTGGAGAAGTCAAATGATTAACCAGGGTTATACAGAGCTAGTCAATAGTATAACTGGTATCAATCTTGGTTTCTGACATAAGCTGCAAGTTTTACTACAAGTATTTCTACTATGTTGTTCTACTTTATATTTCTACTTTGATAATGGGAATATTGCAGGGTCACAGAGAGTGATGGGGGAGTCCGTGGACTGTTGTAGTGCTGTATTTTATTTTAAGCCATTGTCATTTAGCATTCTAATGCTCTTAGTAAGGTAGTTACCTATTTTTTAATTAAAAAATTCTGTTAGTGTTTTCACATTAGGTGATATAATGTTTCCCTTCTCTCTTTGGTAGGTTGGAGCAGGATGGATTGGAAAATGTAAGTCTGTCTCAGATTTTCACTTGCCATATATTGTTTTCATATTTTTAGACCTGCATATCCAGATAGAACTGGGTAAAGACCTTGTGATGATAACACTGGATTGAGTATGCACATATTCAGGTTCAAACATCACTGTATCTTTAGATATTCCAAAAACATTGAATTTGCCCTGCAGGCCTCTGGCACTTTCAAGAAGCGGTTCAATTTTCTGCCTGTTGACAGCCCTCATCTAGGCCTTGTTCTGTCTTTTTTATAAGTTGCTATTTCTGGAGATAACACAGACTCTTTTTAGATTGATGTTTGTTTGTACTCTGTCTCTTTGTCCCATGTACTTGTTTTTTGCTGTATCAGCAGAGAAGTAAGTAGGAGGGAGGGCTATTTTTGAAACAGTGGGAAGAAATCTATCTTAGATCTATCTTAGATGGCACAGGAGGCAAGTTGTCCAAATTCTTTTCTTCCTTGGAGCTTGAGACAGATCTTAGAGTGAGAAAGTGAGGAATCACCTTGGACAACTGTGGGGGACAGAAATTACAGCTTATCTATGGAACTGATTTAGCCCTAAAGTAAATTCTTCTGGCTTCAATCCTTTTGTGAGGTAAATGGATAATTACTTTATGGCATTTAAAAAAAAAATTGTGATAATTCCAATATCCCAGTTCAAATTTTCAGTTGGCTGCTGATTTCAAAAAGAATTATTTAAAAGGTTGCCATTCCTGTAGGGTATTATTAAAACTTAATGTAGACTGTCAGTATTTTCATCATTAGCAATTGTTCGTCCCAGTTATTATATTATTGCTCAAACATTTTTGAGTGTCTTGTAACATCCATTTAAGAAAGGAAGATCAAATATTACAATGAATGTGTACTTTATCAGTAGGAAAACTCTAGAATCAGACATTCGTTTCATTTCCCGAAGACAAAGCTTCAATTTTAACAATCATCAGAGTCTGACAGTTAATGTTTTACTAAGTTACCAGTGGTTATTTATTCTGGCTTTTTGAAAGCTGTTAAAATTTCCCTCACAGAACATAATGGGGCAATAATGAATTTTGTGAATTTGTCATTCTGATGATTTCCTGTGGAAAAGGAGGAAGCGCAAAGGGAAGAGTGGATGACTGATTTTTGGTTGTCTGAAATTTTAACCTGTTCTCACAAGTCCTTGGCTTGCTGTCCAACAAAACTCTTTTCTGTTTTCTTGAAGTATGTGACCCAGTTAGGCTGGTATGAAGTCAGTCTTGATTATGGCCACGTACAATTTCACTTTATCTGATCTAGCACTTCATTTTACCTTTCGTACTCTGTGGCATAGTCAGAGGGGGAGTTTTTTCCCTTAAGCTCCAAATATTTGGGGGAAAAAAAAGACATCATTCTAATGAGTTTATTATTTTAGAAAAAATACACATAAACAGTCATAGTAAAACTCATCAGAATTTCCCTTTTTTTCAAGTTAAAAAATTCAAGGGACTTTTATAAATTTTACTTTGTCTCATTTATTTATTTATCTATTTATCTATTTATTTGTTTATTTTTAAAGCTTATCCATGCATACAAGGGCTGGGGTACAGACTGGTGATGGGGGTGGTTGGGCGGGGGGATGAGATGACCCACAAAAGACATGGGGAACAAAACAGGCAGATTGACCGAAACACACCACTGAGGGGAGCAGTGGGCGAGACAGGAGAGGTCTGCCTTGCCACGTGGGTTTGTCCCTGGCTAGCCGGGGATTGAACCCGTACTGCAGAGGCTGCAGACTGCCTCACAGTGCAGTGCTCAACCCCTTGCGCCCCCAGGGAGGCCCTCTGTCTCTCTTTTAAAATGTATACTCAGTTTTTCATTTTGTTTTTATAATCAGTGCGCTGGGAGCGGACCCTTGGAGCCATTGTAAGACAGAAGAATCAGCCAATGACTCCTGAGGCGGTGAAGGCTAACTGGAGGAAGATCTGTGACTTTGACAATGCCAGCAAGCCTCAGACAATTCAAGGTGAAGAATCCAAGTCAGTACAGCTGTGGCTGGGGACCCAGAGGCAAAAGCATTCTCTTGCACAGTTGTCTTCTGTAGACACTTAAGTCATTTATAACACGTTTTCTGCTCCAGTAGGTATTTGCACTCTTAAAATTTAAGATGTAAATGTCACTGCCATAGTCAGTTTTACAGTTTTTTGGGGGTAATCCTTTTCTTGGGGTTGTAGGTGAGGTTGCAGAATACTATGACGTCTTTACTTATTTGTGCTGAATGCCTCTGTGCCCCATCTGACCATTGGTTTCATGGTTTTCCAGTATCTTATCATATACCTGACCTGATTTCTTTTTTTCACCCAAAGAGTTGTCTAAGCCTATTTTATTTAGGGCTAGTTCATTTCTGTCTAGTGAATACATTTTTCTTTGTTTTACCACTTGTTTTTGCTGCTGTTTTCTGCTTTTCAAAAAAGCCGCTTCCGCCTGTTCTCTGCTAATCTAAAAACTTCTTTAGAAAAACTCGAGCCCCAGATATTCAGCAAGACCTCCCCAGATATTCTTGGCTTCATTGATCTTTCTCTTAGCTGAACTCTTACTGCTTGAGCATTTGATCATAACTGCTTTCTACGGTTTTTGTTTATTAAGTAGGTGTTTTTGTTTTAACTCCTTGTATGTCCCTTTGAAGGTAGAGACTGTGTCTGGGGTGTACTTCTTTTCTACCTGGTGCTAGCGTAGTGCTTATTTCGTGGAAAGGACTCAGTATATGCTTGTTACTTTGAATTATTAAATCATCTATGATAGGCTATAGGAATAGATAATAAAATAAAAGTCACATTTTTTTCTGGTGTAACTTTCATAAGCATATAGTATATGTGATTTTTTAAAAGGTTATTTTATAGAAAAATCTTATGTTTTACTTTAATAATAGTTTTATATGAAAAGTTTTGGAGAAGAATACATCTGAAATGAAAAGTGTTTCTTTTTCCTCCTTAATGACAGTCTTCTCTCTGCCGGTACACTCACTGAAATTTTCATTATGTTTTTTTTCCTGTTAGATGATAGCATGGTGTTATGTCATTAATGGTAGCATTTTTTGCATTGTAGTTTTTGATATTTGAGATACGTTTTGTCTTGTAAATAATAGTCACCTATTAGTGACAACAATGATGGAGAAAAGGAAGAAATTAATTGAAATCTTTACCTTAGTGCCTTGAAAATAGCTTACTAATATAAAGAAAAAGCTAATTGAATTATATATGATAAATACAAGATACCACAGTATTTGAAGTACAATTTTAAAAAAGTCTACATTCTCTCTAGAACCGAGACTTTTTCACACCATCTATTCTACTATTGTCAATTTTTGAGCCAAGCATTAACTCTGTTTGTCTGAGTCTGAGCATAATCTGTGCCAGGATGACTTTGAATTAACTGATGTCTCCTTCAGCAACATCTGAATGTGTGGTAAGGGGAGGACTAGTCAACAAGAAGCCTCTGCCCTAGTGTTAGCAGGAATGGCAGGTTCTCTGGTCATCTCATGTTCTGTAATTTGGTTAGGGTTTTGTCTGGGTTTGGAAGGAGGCCTGTATTTCTAAGATCTGTTGTAAGGTTTTTTGAACCATGGCATAGGTAGATGCTCCATAAGTCTCCTTGTTTAGGCTTAAACTTCAGGACAACAGCTTCTGTATCCTGTTTCACTAGTTATAATGATATTTTTCTCTGGAAGTACTATCCTTAGAACTATTAATACTTATACAGAGACCTGGGAGATATTTTAGCATTGTTCCATTCCATACATGGGGTGATGGTGGGGGGGGAAGGCAAGTTAGTTGTTCTTCTAGTCAACAGAAATTCCATATCAATGACAAACATCCCAGTTTACAGAGTGGTAAAAATCTCTCAAAGGCATTGCAAAGATCAGAGCCACTGGAGAAATATAACATGGGAAAAGTATGTTCGACTATGCCTTGTTTTTTCATTGAAGACAACCAGTTATCTTTGATCTGTTTCTAAGTCTTTCACAATTTTTCCTATAATAGCCCGATGCCAGTCTTCCAGTTGTAAGTGCAGCAGACTTGCTGAATGTTACAGCAATCATTTTCTTGCCCATTATAGGTTTCCTTCATCATATATTTAACAAAGGCATTATTTCTGTTACTTAATTTTTAGAATCAACTGGTGGTGTAATTGGAGTTCTAAGGAAAATAGATTCAGATGGAGGAGTTTCGACAAATCATACTGGTCATGCAACATCAACAGCCACATCTGGACATGTAAGTTAGAAATAAGCCTGAAGTTTTGCTGTCTCTGGAGATTTTTTTTCTTTTCTCTTTTTACCCCTACAAAAATTATTTCTATGTTAAATAGAAACAATAAATGACAAAATTCTGAATAATATTTGTACTACATATGGATAGAATTTGAATGGGCATAAGGCTAAAATGTTAAATGTAGCTTTGTATTCTTCACTATAATTGAACAGGTGTCCTTTTTTTGAGATTGTTGACAGGTTTACTTTAGTCACTGTTTTTGTAACTTTTTAGAAAAGGAAGGACTGACCTCATTTCTTTTAAGAGGAAGCATAAATAAATTGTATCTTAAAAGTGATTTGACATTATTGCAAGTAACAAGCCTCCCATAGTGCAGAAATTCTGATAGAATTGTGGTTATAGTTCATGTAAAGTTTGCTGCTTTATTGTCCTTTACCCCTTTTTTAAAAAAAATTGTGATGCATCAATAGTAAGAAATAAATCTTTTCATATGTTTGATTCTGGTGTTTTCTGACTCACAGCAGATGTTGTGATAAAATTAACAATCTAATTTTAAACCTGAGAATATGATCAGTTTACAAATTTGTTCAGAATAGGGATTGGTAATTTTTTTTGGTAAAGGGCTAGATAGTAAACATTTTTGACTTTATGGATCACATACTTTTTATGTCTTATATTCTTCCTTTTTTTTAAAGCTGTTTGAAGTTATAACAGTAGTCTCAGTTGTTATTTGCTGATTTTTGCTTTCAGAATGAAAGTGATTGAAAATTGGACTTCACTCTTTTTTAACCTAGTATGGACTTGTCATATTAGCTAAGCATATCATCGCTAAATAGAAAAAAACAATATCCAGTTAGATAAAGGAGAGTCCTGGAAGGAACTTCAGGTGAAATCTCATGTTAACTAAAGCTATTATGGGGCAGTTTAATTTACAAACATTAAGCAGTGTTTTGGTCATTTGGTTATAGGGAATTTAATATATTAGATCTTATATTTTAATTCACCATCCCTATTTATAACAAATGTATTTGTTGTTTTTCATATCTTGGAGAAGCTATTAATTGCCAAATTATAGGCCTTTGTGCCATGAGAAACAGGAAAGTTGAAAAATGAGGCATAATATCTGTTAGCAAGAGGCAAGCAATAAAAAAGCACTTATCTGTAAATGAAGTCCTTTTCCATATCTTATGTAGTTGAAACTAGAATTTCAATTTTATTGGAAAAAATCAAATATAACGAAACTCTTATGATGCACCATCAAATTCACTAAAATGACATTCTCTTTACCAAAGCAAAACTAGGTATGTAAGCCATTAATAGTTTTGAAAAGTTAAAGTTTTAAAGACTTGCAAAAATATCAATGAAAAAATAATTTTTTACAACTGTTCCACAGACTGGCGCTATTGGCTATAAATTTCCTCCATTTTCTTCTACTTATACGGACATGGAAGCTATTATGTATGCCCTTGGAGTGGGAGCATCGGTGCAAGAGCCAAAAGATTTGAAGTTTATTTATGAAGGAAGTTCTGACTTCTCTTGTTTGCCTACTTTTGGAGTTATCATAGCTCAGAAATCTATAATGGGTGGAGGACTAGCAGAGATTCCTGGGCTTTCGATCAATTTTGCAAAGGTATGCATCATAAGAAACTTTATTTTGCTTTTCTTCTTTTTTCTTTCAACATGATTAATAAATGTCATGTGTGTGTATGTGAGTGGGTGTATGGATAATAGTTTATATTGGTTGATTCAGGAATAAAAATTTAGCATGTCATGATTTTTTTCTTTTTAAGAATACAGAGAAATGAGTTACTCAAAGGGGGCCACAGAAAGGAGAAAATAACAATGACGTTCAGGTCCACAACCCTTGTTGGACCAAGGGCAAATAACTTTCTCTAAACTTCACTTTCCTTGTCTATAAAATGGGTGTGATAATCCTTACCTTATGATACTGGTAAAGGAATAAACCAGGTAATTACCTAGGGGGAAACATTTGAGACAAGTGTAAAGATCCTGAGACAATTGCATCCTTGGCTTGTTTTTGAAATAGCAAAGGGACAATATAGTTGCAGAACTGAGCAGGGAGCAATGGCAGTGGTAGGAAAAGGGGGCCTTGTGGTCACTGAAAAGCCCAGCTTACTCTGGTCAACATGGGGTTCATTTGCTATCTTTGAGCCTCTTTTCACTCACAAGCTCATTCTTGCTACTGTATGAATTGGTGGTGTGGGATAATTGTTGAATCATAGAACCATGCATGAGCTGATTTTGTGACTTGGAATGATTGCAGAACCGGTTTATTGGAGGATTGATTAGCTCACTGCTGATGTGAATCTGAGAACTTATTTTATTAGAGGATTTGATGAAGTTGGGAAGGAGAGGAGTGATAATGTACCGGGCATTTTGTTGCTTTTGTAACTCTCCTTTGATATTTGCTGTGCACAGTTCTTTGGATAATGTGAGTGTCCAAAATTAAAGCAAATGTTTCAGAATTATCCCTCAGAGTTGAAAGGAGTTGGAGATCATAAATGTGGTCAAACTCTGTGGTGGGAATGATAACAATCTTCAAATTTGAATCCTAGTATTCCTAATCTTGAGTTTCTGGGAATGAGGTGTTCCTTTGTTCTTCTATCACTGTACACCCCACCACCCCTCCCTATTTTCCTTTTGGGTTATGAGGAAGACTTGTAATTAAGTGTCCCTCTGCAGTAGAGTGTGTTTACTTGGATAAGGGTCAGATACTGGTTTTCCTCCTGTTACTTTCCTATACACATTTGTATTTTCGTGCTTCGATTGAAGTTGGTTATCTTTGAAGTTATACAGCATTCTTAATAGCTACTCTTTGTAGGTAATCTACAGCATATTATTTGAAGAAAATGTTGACATGGATAGTGCTTTTACTTTCAACATGCTTGTAAGGTTTGTATGTGTGTTTTAGTTGTTTGTGTACCTTTTTTCTGCAGCTAGTTATTGGATATCTGGTATATTCTAGGCACAATGATAAGCACTAGAAACACAGCATAGTTTAGTGTCTCCATTGGTAAATACTCCGTTAGTTCTCATTTAACAGGATTTATGAATGTCAAGAAATGACACAAATGTATCTTCTCTGCTCTAAAAGATCTGACAGTGTTTACATTGGGGGACTGATTATCTCTGAATCATATGATTAAGAAGTAGAAGTTAAACTGAGGTAGAAAATTTGGGGGAAGAAATGATGTGAGCATGTGAAAACGTAACTTGTGAATAAAATAACCACTGGCAAAACCTGTGGAAGAGAATTCTGCTAATAAAATATTGTTTGCCCTAACATAGGTTCTTCATGGGGAACAATACTTGGAGTTATATAAACCACTTCCCAGAGAGGGTGAGTTCTTGATACACTCATTCTGTAATGCTACTATAATTTTATTTTCTGACTATCCAAACTCTGTCAGCATGTTAAACTGGCTTCGAGTGACATAAATAAACCATTATCATGTGGTATTTATTTGCATGTCAGCTGCTGCAGTGGGTTGATGCCAACTAGTTTCAACTGATGGTAACTAGCATCAATTTGGTAATGGTCTTATTTAATACAATACTTGAAAATATGACCAATTTATCCGTACTAATGTATGTGTTATTAACAACAGAAGAGACATTGTGTGTTCTAAACTTAGTCATTATACGTAATCAATTATGATTCCTATGAATATAGGTCTTCGTTCTTTTTTCAGTTCTATTTATGTTGTTTTCACAAAGCAGACAATAGTAACAGATGCAGAATTTCTCTTGATTAGCTTTTCCCTATTTTCTTTTAGAGAAAATAAAACCAAGTCTGCCTTAATGGTTGTGTTTTTGTCAAAATAGTTTCATTTGTTCAGTAAAGCTTGCATTTTTTTCTTTCACTGTAATTTGAGGTATTTGTTTCCTGTCTCTACTCTGATGTCAGAATGTTGTCTAATTATCAACTGACTGTATAGGTTGTAAAGTAGAACAGAAGGGTCTGTTTTCCACTTCATTTATATTATAGAGGTTAGCTAGGATTCTACTTTAATTTTTTCCTAAACCATTTTGTTTTACTAAAAAATTTATGAGATTCTTATTGCTTAAGGCTGAATAACTTTATTTCACTGTAGTGTTACAGTGTAAGTTTTCACTCAGCACTTTTTGTTTGAGGCTATGCACGGTGAGTGGTGACTGTTTCTGTCCAGTGTCTGCGATACCTGCCAGGACAAGGCGCAGTACTCCGTTTTAGATAATTTTCTAACCTGGCTGTGTGTTGTTATTGCTGTTATTGCAGTATATGACTTGTTGTTTTTAATGAAATATGGATTTTGTATTGTACCTCTGGAGATTCCCTGTGCATGTGTGCCTGGTATGGGGGTGACTCTGTGGGCAGTGGCAGGCCCAGGAAGTTCCTAGTGTGTTTTGACTGCAAGCCTAGCATGGATTCATTTGGGGACCAGTGTTATAAAGGAAGTAGATGCTGAGCAAAAAAAGTCAGAAGGAGAAAGAAAAATACGAATGGTTTCACCCATATGTGGAATATAGGGAAACCAAACAAAGGGTCAAGAAAAAGACAAAACTTGCAAGCTGACCATAGATCTGAGGCCTACAACAGGGGAGGGAGGGAGAAGAGTCTGAACAGGGGAGGGAAGAGCTCAAGGGACTGCAACAATGGTTCTGGGTGATGTGGCAGTGGAAAAATTAGGAGGACTACACCTGAGGGGAGAAGTCAGATATTGTACAAAAATGAAAATTAACATAAGGAAATTTTTTTAAAAATCAAAATTAAAAAAATAAACGAAGTAAAAATGTATAAGGTGGGTTTCTGCCTATAGGGATTTTAAATATGAAGAGAAAGATTAGACCTATACTTAAAATAAATTTCACTAAAAATTGATATGAATAAGAAAGTATGAAAGATTTTTTTTTTTTAAAGATTTCTCCTGTTTGTTTTTTTAAAGATTTATTTATTTATTTATATAAGAACCAGGGTACAGGCCAGATGCATGGGAGGGTGAGAGGATTCACCAGAAACAGAGCGGGGAACAGAACAGGCAGACTGACGAAACACATTACTGAGGGGAGCAGTGGGCGAGACAGGAGAGGTCTGCTGCGCCTTGTGGGTCCCTCGTCGGCCGGCCGGGATCGAACCGGCACTGCAGAGGCTGCGGACAGCTTCACAGCACGGCGCTCAACGGTCTGCGCCACTAGGGGAGGCCCTGAAAAATGTTTTTCTTAATTTTTTGTACCTCCTTAGCCTTATGTTATGTTTTTATGAATCATTTTCCTTTAGTAGCACCTGTGCATTTTCTTTAAGTAGTTTTAAAGTATACTCTATACTAAGCATGAATGTTCAAAATTTGAGATACTAATGATTTGAAATCCTTTTAGACTGCAGAAAATCAAGGTAGTGCTAATATTTATGATCTTTTCATAAAACACGCCAATTCATGAGACATAGGCCTGCAAGCCTCAGGAGGTTGGCATGTCTGCCTCTCTTGCTGGCTTACTTGGTAGCTATAGTGGTACCATCATGGACTGACCTACCCCTCCTCCTGGCAAAATAAAAGCACTAGGTGGAGTGTAAGGAAAATCTACTAGCAACATTTATTTTTCATCATGAACCAAACCCTATTCTAGTTCAGGATATGCTGGTCTCTAGATTTTGTTGGTTCACAAGTTTGATCATTACTATGTTTCTACTGGATGTCTTTCTTTATGGACCCACTTCTTTCTGAAGATAATGTGCATTTTGGGGTAAAACAATTCTTTCCTTCTTCTGGAAAATGAGATTGATAATGTTACCAACCTTGATTCTCTCCCAGGGAGTATGTAGCCTTCAAATATTAGTATGTTTAAATGTGCTTTTGGACAATTAAGCATTATGAAAATTTAGACTTCACAGTGAAGTAAAAAGCTTCTAGTATTGTGTAGGTCCTCTCAGTCTACACATATCAAAGTGTTGCCACATAAGTATTGTCTAGATTATGAGTTTGGGTGATAATCAAGTTTCTGACTTGGGCAGCTTGTTAGATAGTATCATTTATTCACATAGGGAATTAAAGAGAGAAGCAGATATGAGAAAATGATGATAAATTCAGCCCTATGTAATAATGATCCATTTAAGACATCACTAGTGAAATGGTGGTAAGAAGAATCCATAAAAGAATAGGGTGACTAGAAAGAAACAATGTGTTATTGAAACCAGTTGAGATTTGAGAAGAAATTGAGTAGATGGTATGATTGTATGCTTAACAAATGTTTGCTAAATGATTGAGAATTATTTTTTTTAAAAAGAATTATTGGAATTAGGATTATTGATGTTTTAAATTTAGTGACTAAAGTGTTTTGATTGCTTTATACTGAATTTTTTTCTAATGAGATCGGGAAAATTATTTTAAACCATGATTTTTTAGTTTTTCCTGAATGTACAGTGGAAATTATGTGAAATTCTCTGATGTCTTAGTCTTAATAATTTATGATTTTTGAGACAATCTCTTATTTATCTATTTTACTTTTCATTTTAGGAAAATTAAGATGTGAAGCAGTTGTTGCTGATATCCTAGATAAAGGATCCGGTTCAGTAATTCTCATGGATGGTAACTCATTTCCTTCCATTCTTATATTGTTAGATTAGTAGGCTTTGTATGTAATAATACTTCACATGAAAATTGTTTAGTTTGTTTATGTTTATCTTCCAGCTTGCGAGAAAGCAAGATAAGCATTCTAAAAACAAATAGGCTCTTTTATTTTTATTTATTTATTTTTTAAAAATTTATTTATGCAAACAAGCACTGGGATACAGGCCAGAGGTAAGTGGGGTAAGAAAATTTACCAGAGACAGAGTGGTGAGCAGAACAAGCAGATTGTGAAATACACTGCTGAGGGGAGCAGCAGGCGAGTCAGGAGAAACCTGACTCACTGCGCCATGTGGATAGCTCTCTGGCCAGGGATCAAACTCATGCTGCAGTGGCTGTGGATAGCTTCATCGGTTACCTCTTAATCCCTTGCACCACCGGGGAGGCTCTTTATATAGGCTCTTCTAGAGAAGAAAGGGAAGAGGGGGAGAAGGAGTAAACTGGGGTGGGGTGGGGAGCATGAGGCTTGTGAGGGTATTTGAGATTACATAATCAAAGCACAGAGTAAGAAAAATGGCTCATGTAGCGCACACAGGGGAGAACTCTGCAGGCCACAATGTTTTTGGCAGGAAGGAACACTTGGCCCTCAACTGATAAACTAGATTGCAGTATTTTTTTTTTGTGTTAATTCTTTGGTACTTGGAACTTATTTCACCACTGAACCATTCTTATAAATGGCAGTTAGGTTTCTGACTGTGCCTATTCAAGCCTATTGAACTTCTAATCAGTGGAAAGAAAAGATTATAGTTCAGTAAATGTGGAGATACTAGTGATAGAACATCATTAGCTAAAGATACATTGCTTATAATAAACTTATTTCAGAGTTTAAGAACAAAAAAAGTAGATATTCTCAAAAAGTTTGGAAATAAAGAACAATGGAAAGTTTCATATTATCTGATAATGGAACATAGACTTTATTGTTTTGTGTTAAATACATAGATGGTTATGCTGGATCTCCCTTTTTTTTTTTTTTCCTTAATCTATTGGGAACATATTTGATGCTCCTTAATGTTTTTTCTGCTATATTGTTTTTGTTAGTGCCTAGTGTTTTATCATGTCTTTCTTAGTTTTTTCCCTTCCTCTCTTCTTTCCTTTGTTTCTTACCCCTTTGTTTTAGATTTTTGTATTTTCTTGTCATTCCAGATACACGCCAACATTTAACTGCCATTCCTCCCGTTTTCTGATCATTCTACCTATACAGCACACCACTAAACAAAAGCTCTGCAGCGACCTTAGCTTTAATTTTTACTTATTTAACTGTGGTTTGATAATGCATCAGAGTGTATTTGAATGTGTGGATAAAGTATAGTTGAAATTAGATGCTACATTTTCAACGTAATAAAGATAAAAATTTTATTGTAATACAAATTGCCTTGCCTTTCCCTATTTTTGGTTATAATTAGTTTTTTCTTTAGTATGCAATTCGAAAGCATATTTTCTGCTTTCTGTTTTCCTAAGCTGGAGCTGCGGATAATACTCAAATTCTCCCTGGGAAATTTGTTGCTAGAAAGAAAGATAGCTGTCTTTAATTCATTTCTTGCTTCTTTGCTAACTTCCTCACTCGTGTCATTCATTGATTCATTCATTAATTTTTTTTAAAGATTTATTTATTTATGCATACAAGAACTGGGGTACAGGCCAGAGGTGTGGGGGGTGAGAGGATTCACCAGAGACAGAGTAGGGAACAGAACAGGCAGATTGACTGAAGTACACTGCTGAGGGGAGCAGCGGGCAAGTCAGGAAAGGTCTGCTGCGCCATGTGGGTTGCTCCCTGCCCGGCCGGGGAATTGAACTCGTGCTGCAGAGGCTGTGGCCAGCTTCATAGGTTGCGTCTTAACCCCTTGCACCACCAGGGAGGGCCCCGATTCATTCATTAATTTAATAAATGTTTGTTAGGTGGCTTTTCCATACCAGACATTATTCTATTTGCTGGGTACATATTGTTGAGGAAACAGCCATGATCCTCCTCTTAGAAAGTATATATCTTCATTACCAATTATTTCCTTTTTCACATTCCAGAATCTTTTTGAGTGCTTTGACAGAATGTCCCAAAGTTTGTGAGTGCAGTTACCTGTACTATATAGTGGAATTGTTTGAAATGTTGAGATAGAAAGAACTGAGATATAAAAGATGATTGGGGAGGTTTCAGAAGAAGTGAGAGGAACCACTATTTAATAGTCAAGAAAGGAATTGTGAATATCTTATTCTGTCTTTATCTTCCAGCGCTTGGGAAAGAATGAATTAATAAAATTAATGCTTTGTAGCCCAATCTTAAAGCAAAAAAAAAAAAAAAAGATAAACAGCATAACCATCTATGTATTTAGAACAACAATAATAATAACGTCTGTATTCTAGTATCAGATAATATTAAACTTTCCACTGGGCATCTTTAAATTACAAAACCATTTAGTATTTGGATTTTGTTTTTGAAACTTTCAAAGGAATGGTTGATCATATATTGATTAACCAGTTATGTCTCTTTAAAAAATAAAGCTTATTTTTTCTTTCATTTACTTTTCAGTCTATGCATATTCTGGAAAGGAACTTATATGTTACAATCAGTTCTCTCTCTTCCTTGTTGGCTCTGGAAGCTTTGGTGGAAAACGGACATCAGACAAAGCTAAGGTAGGCTGTGACTGCATAAGAAAAATAATTTGTGTAGTTAAGGACTTAACTATATTTTGAACTACTCCATTACAGTATGTGTAAGTCATAGAGAAGAGCTTCAGTAATTCACTCTTCTTTGATTCAGAATTTATTCCTTGCTTAGTAAATGTTGTTTTGCGATATCTAGAGAAATCTGTTTAAGTATAGTGTAACTGAGATAGTTGTGGTAATACTTTTACATTATTAGTAAACTTTGCAGCACCCAAAAGTCTTTAGAAAAACCTAACACATACAAGTGATCCTTGCATAAATTAAAATCTTTTTATTATTTAAGTATTTCTCTTTTATAAGGCAAATCTAGTTACTCTTTACTTCTCAAACTCTATCTAAAAGCATACTTTTCACAAAAATATTTTGTAACTTGAATTTTATGCTAATTTAACCTAGGCTTTAACTTATTGGAGATAATAATATTGTACTTTAATAAATATTCTGGAGTAAATAAGATAGTACTTAAACCTACCTTGAGAGACACGTTCTAGAATGTTGGTATGAGACTTGAGACTTCTCCCCTTTGAAACAAACATAACTGGTAAAATATATTTAAAAATACATATTTAAAATCTCTAGAAATGGTAACAGTAAAACAAAAAAATATTTATCCAAGAAAATTATATCTTGGTGAGAGGAGTGAAAATCTTTGGCATTTGAGCCTCAACTCTCATTCCTTCTTCTTTTCCTGCTCACCATGACAGAAACTCTACTCTAGGCATTTATAGCCAACAACACAGGATCCCTCTGCCCCCAGCTCCCTAACTAGGGCCACACTATCATCCCAAGAAGGGGCAGGTCACGTGCTTTTTCTCCCACCAGCTTTGTTCTGTGTTATAGAAACTATTTCTGGTAACAGTGACTAAGAGTTATAGGCCTCTCTTCTTCTACCCAGCCCGATTTGTTGCTTGGAGACTGTGTCACATCCATGCCAGGGTGAGGACTCTAGAGCCCTGATCACCCTTTTCCTAGCTTGCTTATAGGGTGGAGGTTCCATGCTGGGAGAGTTAAGCTGAGAACATCAGAAGCTACTCCCCTACCCTTCCCCCTTTCTGTAAAGTGAGGATGATACTTGGAGAGAAGTTGGCCACTATCCTTGCTCCTATCTCTGATGTGTGGTACACAGATTTTACCCAGGGGGCAAGGCAGGATGTAATAGTAAAGAATGCTGAAGCTCTTCCCAAAGAAACTGACTCATTTCTGAATATTTATTGAAAGTTCAAAATAAGAGTACTCTCAAAAACAAGATTAATTTAGTAACAAAAAATTAAGTGGGGCTGTTATCTCCATGAGAACAATAAACTAAACTAGCTCAGCTAGAATTTTACTAGATAGAAGCATGGAAAAGATGGCTAAGAAAAGCACTCCCAGGTGCATAAAAAGCCTCCAAGACTTGCATCTAAGATGACTACTTCTGCAAAGAAGCCTGACTTTAATTGAATATTTGCAGCAGTATATGCCTCAGGGCACTGTGGGAAATGAGAGCAGTCATCTGCCAATTTGTGGGGCCTAACTACTGAATATGATACCAAAAGAGGTAGGTCGTATAACAGATCAGGGAGAGACAAGGACCAAGAGCTTTGCTCAAACCAGTCATCCCAGGTGAATGCCCCTTGAGGAACAACATCAGGGACTGCATGCTCTGGGAGATAGACTTCATTAAAAGAGTCTAGCCAAGCAACTAATGATCAAGTTAATAATAACAGGCAGTCTTGGAAGGGAAAGGGGATTACTATCTTAAGAGTTGCTATAAATATTGTCTAAAATATCCAGCTATCAAAACAAAAAATTTTAAGACATGAAAGAAATAGGTGAGAATGACTCATGGACAACAAAACAGAATATTAACAGGCAACAGAAATTGCCTTTCATAGGACTTAATAGACAAAGATTAAAAAAATACTATAAATAATGATCAGAGAACTAAAGGAAAACATGTTTAAAGAAGTATAGTGAGAATGACTCATCACATAGGGAAAATCAATAAATAGAAATGATAAAACAATCAAAATTCTGGAACTGAAAGTACAGGTGAAATGAAGAACTTACTAAGGGCCTCAGCACTAGATTTCAATAGACAGAAGAATCAAAAAGCTGGAAGATAGATCTGCCTACCTGTATCTGTTTGAAGAACAGAAAGAAAGAAAATGAATTAAAAAACAAATAACGAGTCTCATTAGCTGTCTGAACATTGATGTAATGGGAGTACCAGAAGGAGAAAAGAGAGAGAGAAGTAGGAATAAATTGAAGAAACACTGTCTTGAATGAAAACATCAATCTGAGAAGCTCAGTGAACTCTGAATAGGACATACATAAAAATAAGGAGATCCGCACCCTTCCTTAGTAAAGTACGTTGAAAGATAGTGTTAATATCAGATATGAATTGTCTAATTTTTATTGTTACCATTTTTTGCACTGGGGGAAAGAGTTCAGTGTTTTTACTTTTTCTCTTTGTGACCTGGAGAATATATACTGGTTATATAATTCTTTCCATTTTAAAAGGGTCAGATCAGGAAAATCATAATGTAGATGAAGCTAGCAATTCTAAAATTTTAAATATTATCTCTTGTACTAAAATTAAAAAAAAAAAGCTTTCCATCTACTTGCGGATTTCATTATATTGAAAAATGGTTATTTATCAAACACCATATTGGGTAAAGAGGATAACAGTATTTAACAAATGATGTTTTTGATTCCAGGTAGCTGTAGCCACACCTAACAGAGCTCCTGATGCTGTCCGTACAGACACCACCTCACATAATCAGGTAAGAGTGAATTTTGGAAAAGTGATAAATCCATCTGACAGGTGATATTTTTAAATGTATGCCTCTGATCCCCTTTGGTTTTGTGAGTCCAGAAGTGGTGGTTATGTCCTGTAGCATAATGAAAATGACATAGTTCTGTGGTTGTAATTTGTTTTTTCTAATTTTTTACTTAACAAGTCTTTTCTCTGCTAAATAGTAAAATAAAACAAAAAATGACTTAATTATTGTCAGTTCAAAAATGGAGCACACTTTGTTCACCATGGAGTATTAGCCTGACTTAGAAGAATGTCACTGTAGAGAGCAGAATAAAAAGAACTAAAAGACAAATTTAAATCATCATTTCTTCTGTTGGGAAAAAAGCTGCATTGCTTTGGAAACAGAGTATTTTATGCTAAGTTTATTGTCTAGGCAAAATAAGACATCTTAGAAAAGATACATGTTTTATATTTGGCATAAATGTGTTATCTGATGGAGGAGATAAAATGCCCTATCTTTTAACAGATTCTGTGAGCATGCAAAGATTCACATGGGAAACAAAAGACAACTGTATATGAGAAAAGCAACTTTGCTTTTGTCAGACCTAAAGGTTCTTCTCTCAGATGTCAGAGCACTAAACACACAGATACAGAACAGGATAAGCAGAGTTCTGAAGTGCTGCTGTGACAGAGTGTGTAATGACAGCAGATTACAAAGTTCACTTATTTTTGATGCTAATATAGATATGCTTAATATAAAACTTTTGTAAGATTTATGTTTGGTAAAGGAATTAAGGCTGACACATACTCTGTTTTGTTTTGTACTACGTAAGTAGATGATGGACAGAACAGTACTCTTTCTCAGGTTAGTTTTTGCCATCAAGTGTTATTCCCATCCACTACTGTTTCTATCAGTTTATTAAGAATGCACCCATATTTATGTTTAATTAAAAGTTCACAGAGAACTTAATTTTATTAGGGCACTAAAGAACAGAAAGCAATCCATGGTTTCATGGTTCAGAAGACCCAACAATGCTCCTTTATTCTGTTGATACTTGGTTTCTGCTATAGTAAATGTATCAGCTAGATAAGAAAAGCTGAATAGTTTCCAACGCTTGAATTTCTACACAAAGCAAGTGGAGAGACTTCCTTTCTTTCACACTTTTTCAGATAAATAGAACTTTCTGTTAGCTTTTTAGCAGAGTATTTCGCAGCATGAGAAAACAATTTTTAAGAATTTTTTTTAATTTAAATAATGAGAGTAATAAATGATTCCACAGAGGTTCCTGACAATTTCATGTCATGTGGTCTTTTAAGAATATGATGAAAGGTACATACTATTTCTTAAAAAATAAAATAAAAAATAACTCACATAAAGTTTTGCATAAATTTCAGTGATTTTTGTGGTGTTGTGGACTAGATCAGTGCCACAGGAGATAAAAGTCAGAAGAAATGCGATCTGTTGTCAGGAGGTTGAAAGATACTTAGATACCCAAGACATAGATACTGGAGTAACTAGGATAACATAGCAAGAAATAATTAAGTACAAGGCTTTGAATTGTAGCATAAGTGCTGTAGACATTCAGAGAAGGGATATGCATTAGGGAGCAATGTACAGAAGAGTTTGGTAGAAAAGATAGGACTTAAGTAAATGACAGCGATATTGTCGACACACTCTTTTACCAACGATGTTGGACTTGCTCTGTGGCCTCAGGAGATAAGAAGTAATGATAGGAGACTGTAAGGGAAGACACGAACATGATGTGTGCTCAAGGAATAAGAACATTCACACTGGAGAATCATGGGAGATGATTACATAGTGTTTAAGGAAAAGCAGAAATAAGGAAAAAATTACCACTAACTTTTGAATCAGTAAGAAAATGGGCAGTCATATTTTTAGCTCTGACATCACTTCTGGAATATTTGATGTATCATGTCTTTAGAAGAGTTTCTTCCTCTTGAAACTGCTACATCTTTACAAGTGTACTTTGTAATTTTTTAAATAGAAATTCATCAACAGTGATCTAGAAAGAAAAAAGAATGAACAGATATCAGAAATTAGACTTTGCATTTGGGAAAATTGAAAACAGATATTTGTACTTTCTCCAGATATATATCTTATACTGTCTATTCTAACAGTTAAAATTTTTGCTATCATCATTTTTCAATAAAGTTAATCTTTAGTTTGTTGGTTATACTAGCCATTAAGATACAATTCTTTATTAAATTACCATATGTATAATACCTACTAATTATATGGACCTTTTTTCTTTTGTTTTAAAGCAATGATTTTTTTTTGTCATGTAGCTGTTCTCAGACAGTAGCAGGGCCAGAAGGTCCAAAATAGCTTCCTTCACACATTCAGGTTCTCAGTGCTGCCTCTTGGCTGCGGTGCATCTGTTCTCCACATGGCCTCTTCACACGGTGTCTCATCTTCAGGCCTTTCTGAATGACTCTTCAGGGGTGCTCTATTTAGATTTCTGGAGCTCTTTTCTATGTAGCTACCTCCTTTTTTGGTACACATACATTCCAACTGCACAGCTTTGCAGAGCTCTGATCTTTATGTTGTTAACTTACTGAGACTTTTCTACTGAGATTGGGTTTCCCTTCTCGCACTGCACTGTGAAAAGTGCCATTAGGCAGAAAGCTATGGAGGCTGCAGAGTTCATCTTGTTTGGTAGTCCTGCGATGCTCCAGTGTTCACTGGTCTGTGTGCTTTAGTAGATGGCAGAATTTGAGAAGGATTTTTAGTTAGCATTTAATTTAACTTGTGAAACCATTTTTAAAAATAAAATTAAGAACTACTTTACTCATAGGTACAAGATCCTCTCATACATATTTAATGTGCAAGTAAGAGTATATATTTTTTTCAGCTGTTTCGTGTGTCTGTGTTTTAGTGCCTTATATGTGAGGAAAATAAAACAAGCCTTTAGTTTTCCTTAAATATAAAAGTTCTTAAAAATAGTCAGAAAATGGGTTTTGACAATGTTCCTTATTATTTGGAGAATGATTAGCTTGCATTATGATTGATTTAATCTAAAACCCAATACTTGACTTTAGTCATTTCTCATGATGGATTTTTTTGTTTTTATTTATTCTGTTGTCTATAGGAAGCATGCAATGACTGAAATAATATGAAAATTTTCTTATTCCTTTAATATTTCGTTAGAAGAAAGGTTCTTTTAATTTATAGGAACGACATCTGTGAAATAAAGATACTGGTATTAATCATAAAAACTTGATTGTCTTATTCTTTGCTAAAATCTTATAAATTATAGTAATGACTATCATTTATGAAGATATTAATATTTATCAAAAAATAGTGCTTTGAAATTGGCTTATTGTCCTCTGAATTTTTTTACATGAGAAAAATTGAAGCTGAAGGTGATGAGTTTGTACATTAATGGCAGAGCTGACTTTGAACCCAGGCTTACTTGATGACAGAACCCATGATCTTTATGTTTGACAGCTTCGCTTTGAAGCTCTGTAATGTACTTTTTCGTTCATTCATCTCTAGCATGGTGATGTGTACTTGCCTAGTGTTTCATTGCTTGTAAAGTGCTTTTTTAAAAAAATTGTATAATCCCACAACTTTTTATACGGAATTTTACACATTCAGTGATTACTAATTTTAGTTCTATTTAGTAGACTCATAAAAGGAAACACTGACTCTTCGAAAAAGTAAATTACAGAAATATCATGAGGTGACAGAGGAGGGAAAGCTTATTAAAATTACTGAAAGCATGCTAAAAAGGAAATGATGTTTTCCTCAGAATTATGGGAATTGTTATTTTCAGTTTATGAAATTTGTTTAAAAAGAATAATCAATAATTTAAAAATCAGTAATTAAAGAAGGCCAAATGTGCTGACTTGGCTAGTTCACTCAATGTTTTAATAGTCTTGAAAAGCTTAACACAGCAGTTGATGAGAAAGGGAAAAAGTCTTGAGGCATGTCCAAAGGAGTCAAGTTAATTTACAGGTAAATACATACTGTTAGCTGTTTTATAAGTTTCTCCCCTTTAACACTGAAAAGTACTCTGTAGTTTGAACAATGCATAATCTAAATACTAAAAATTTTGATAACTTTCCCCTATTGCTGTTTACATCTTCTGCTAATCCCAGTTTATCTAAATAAAGAAGTGATGTGAAAATTTGGACTAAGCAGAAACTTCACCTTAATGGCAACCTACCAGTGTTTCCTTGCAGGATGAGCTGACATTCAGGAATTTAGTGTACCAGGAGAATGAAATTTTCTGACAAGTCTGATGATTAAATGTCTACTATTGTGTTATAAGTGTCAATTTAAAGCATCCATCAAGACAGTTCACATAAATTTTGCTTGGTTAAAAAGAGACTATAAACATTTACCTTATCTTCATTGTGTTTTAGTGAAAATAGATTGTTGGATTTCTTTTTTGACTTTCTGCTTAGGCAGTGAAAACCGTGTCACATATACCCAGATGTGGTTCCTAGGTCCCCTTCCTATGATTTGACAGTCTCTTGTCACCCACCTGATTTCATTGGCAGGTGCTATAAAATCTTTTTTGTCCAGAAAATTTTTTTATCAGAACCTCAATTTGGTATATATAATGATGTTTTTTATTGCTATGGCCAGTATTATTTCCTGTTTTTTAAAAAAGTCATCTAAGAAAACATGAGCGCTACTTACTTTTATAATCCTCTCTCCGTAGGCTGCTTTGTACCGCCTTAGTGGAGATTGGAATCCCTTGCACATTGATCCTAACTTTGCTGGCTTAGCAGGTGAGTTGCTAATAATATGGACTAATGAAAAATATTAGGCCAGTTATCAAATAATATGCTGTAGTTAAACACATTGCTTCTTTTGACTGGTAGTTTGAATCACATTTGAAAAAAAAAGCAGCCCTTGCTAAGGACATGAAAAGGTAGGAATGAAGTGTTCAGAAAATGGTTTATTTCAACTTTCAATTATGGTGAAGGGAAGCTCCTGCTAGTGCAGGGTCTAGGAGGGGACCTTAGGGGTGGGTATCTGAGATATGATGGGCTGGGACATTAAAGGCAAGAACAGGGACCTGAAAGGCTAAGGAAGGGTCAGCTACATACGTGGGCACTGCAATCACAATGGACTCTTTCACTGTTACAACCAAAGCTAAACAAAGCAACTTTTTGTGTTTGCAAAATTTCTCACAATCCTTTCTTGTTTTTTTTTTTTTTCTTTTCTGTTTTCCTTTTTATCATTTTCTCCCAGGAAGGATTATTTATGAAATATTTTCCTTGTTTCTTAGAATTGATGATATGTCATGTCAGTGCAGTTTAAAGACATCTTTTTAAAACCCTGAATTAACTATTCTCAGGTTTTAAATATGAAAAGTGCCAATATCTAACTACATTCTCTTTTTTGTTAGGTTTTGACAAACCCATATTACATGGATTGTGTACATTTGGATTTTCCGCCAGGCATGTGTTACAGCAGTTTGCAAATAATGATGTGTCGAGATTCAAGGCAATTAAGGTATATGCATATTGTTACATAATTTCAGCACCTTTTTTTATTTTAGGATAAGAAAAGGGGTTGCAGTGACTACATTTAAATGATACTATACTGAAGCAGCATTTGTATTATGTCGTTGACTTTGCAATCAGTATGTTTTCTTTTTACGATTACAATTTTAATAGATTAACTGGATTATCTTATAAATTAATTGGACCACATATGTATCAGCATATATACCTTAAAAAAAGCTTGAGATTTTCCATTGTAAGACTTTTTTTTTTACTGTTTTGCAATTTGCCCTAATTTAATTGAAAATGTTAAGTGGCTTTGTTTGAAGTTTAATAAACATAAGCCTACATCACTTCGATAACTGCATATTAGGGTTCCATCCATTATAAGTAACAAAAGTATCTGTGCACACAGTATCTTTGAAGAAGTAAAAGTCAAAAGATGTATGCTAAGTAAAGTTTAAGACAGTGTCAACTCCAAAAACTTTGATTTCTGTTCTATGTAGCAGTGAAAATGCATTTTCTGATGCTTTGCCCTTGATTAACACTTTATTCTCATGCTTTTCATTTTATTGTAACTATACACAGAACAACTGAAATAGAATAACAAATTATGAAATAAAAAGTGGTGTTATGTTAGTAAATACCCACTTCAGATCTCATTCCCCAGACATAATTAGTACCACCTTTAACTATGTCTTTTAAGTTATTCTGGTGATTGTATAACTTTTGTAGTATAATTATGCTTCTCTTTCTTGATTTGTCAAGATTAAATAGATTTGACTCCATATTTTGAAACATCAAAAATTAACTTACTTATGACTACATCCTTTCCCGGCAAGTTTTGTCATAATAATATTTTTAGTTCTTTAATGAATTTAAATGTATTTCAACTTCCATTTTCTCCTTTTATACTGTCTAACTTTCCAATTATTCCTCCCATATGTAGAAAGTTCCATTTTAAAACATTTTTAAATCATTTTTATTAAAGGCTCGTTTTGCTAAACCGGTATACCCAGGACAGACTCTACAAACTGAGATGTGGAAGGAAGGAAATAGAATCCATTTTCAAACCAAGGTATGAAAAATAGCATCAGAGGTAATCTTTTTTGTTACCTCACTCTATAATTATGTTCCATCTTAACATTTTTTTGGATATGAGACAAACTCTAGAATATCTTATTAAATCAGTGGCAACTTTTCACTGAAAATAAGATGCCTGTATACTCTGTTTTTCATGTTTTCTACTTTATGCTAAACTTGATGGGTGTCTGTGTATTAAAAGTGTATCTCCCTATAGGGTGAAGTGATTTCTGGGTGAAGTTGTTAGCAGTACTTCAGTAAAATCCTAAAAGGACATGTAATCATCCTTTTATTTGTAAATTTTCTAAAGATAAATTTTGTTGACTTCATTGACCAACTTGATGACGTTTTTGGCCTGAATATTTTGTACTATGTGATTGGTTTGTGTTGTAACAATTTACACCACCAAAAATAATGACAGCTTCCATCTGTTGACTATCTACCCATATATTCTGGAGCCCTCTTATAATTGTTTCGTGTAAGTTTTGGTTTTTTGCATAAGATTATTAACTCTGGAGGGGGCCACAGTGGACTATGGTAAAGGTGTGGGGGCCTTGGTGGTAGTTCTGATATTGTAACATACAATAGGATGCGATCCTCTAAATCATATACAATGTTGTAAACCAATACTGCATCAATTTAAAAAAAAAAAAAATGTTAGACACCATGAGTTCATTATAGGTTTTTATTTTTCCACAGTCCTAGCAATGAACAGTTTAGGAATAATTTCTATAGATCCAAACTTAAAGGTATTGAGAAATAATTTAATATCTAAATTTATATTCTTGCCATTTTGATCAATTCTAAGCATTTCTTCATATCGCCCCTCATCACCCATACTGGAACTACTCCTTTTTTATTGGTTACATATAGAAGTTTTTCTCTCCCTCCCTGTCTCCTTTCCTTTATGTTGTATTCTAAGAAACATTTTAAACCAGTGTTTCCAAATGATATTCTTGACTTAGTTATAAGGAAGTAATTATGAAAGTGTATTTTATTCCTAAATTGCCTCTTTCCATATTTGTAATGTATAATTTGAAATACAGTAGTTTAAAAATCTTTTTGTTTTCCCCAAAGTCTGATGGGAAGTAGTAATGGGAGAATGATCTTGATTATTAAAAAAAATCAGTCTTTTAGTTATTATTTGATAAAACATCTTGAATAGTCTGATGAAAGCTCTTTTAAGCATTTAGCTTCTGCTATATGTATTTCCTGTTTGAAACTGAACTAGATTTATGGCTTTAAAATGGACTTTTCTTAGCCAATTTTATTCCACATTAACAGAACAGCTGCATTTTGAGTACCACTCCTTTATGTGGATACTGTGCCATACCCTTTACTATTTATAAGCATTTAGCAGTTCTCAACCTAGTTCCCCTTAATTGTCATTAGGCACACTTTTATTAGCAAAAAAATCTCCCAACTATCAGTGGCTTGACTTCACCCAGACCATTTAAATTATTGGAATTTTTTGTGTTGGGAACTGATCACAGGGATTTTATTAAAAAGCTCCAATTGATTCTACAGTCAGAGTTAGTAATAATTACATCAGTAAGCCTTTTTGTTTACTCATCTTGACATCTAACTTATGAACTATTAATTTAATGTCTTTTTCATGTGAAGAAAAAATTATAAATTTTTTAAATGACTTTATGCTGTTTTGCAGTGAGATTGTGTCTTTATTGAAATAATCACAGTGAATTTTTCATTTCTCTCTTATAAGATCCAAGGAACTGGAGACATCGTCATTTCCAATGCTTATGTGGATCTTGTGCCAACATCTGATATGTCAGCTAAAATACCCTCTCAGGTAGGTTATAAAAATTGATATCCAGGTCATTTCCTGATTTATGGATTTCAATTAATGTCATTCTAAGAATGTTTAGGCTACTTTATTTTTTTTTTTAAGACTTACTTATTTATACAAGAACTGGGCTACAGACCAGATGCATGGGAGGGTGAAAGGATTCACCAGAGACAGAGCGGGGAACAGAACAGGCAGACTGAAGAAATACACTGCTGAGGGAAGCAGCGGGCAAGACAGGAGAGGTCTGCCACGCCATGTGGGACCCTCGCCAGCCGGCTGGGATCAAACCCGTGCTGCAGAGGCTTTGGACAGCTTCACAGCCCTGCACTCAACCTAGCCTGCACCACCAGGGGAGGCCCTGTTTAGGCTACTTTAGAAAAGTAAGAGCTGTGAAAGATTCTTATTTCTTGAACTGAGGGACATTGAGAACTGCTTGAAATAAAAAGACTATTTTGAAAACTTACAAATTTAAAAAAAAAATTTTTTTGAGGACACTAGACTATTTTTCAAGGAAAATAATTCATTTTCTAATTTTAGAGTAACTTGTTAATCTAGTGAGAAATCCTGAGCAAAAAGTTTTTTAAAGAAAAATAAAGTTATATTCTGGACTTTTTTCATGATTTACAGGTTTGTATAAAGTTTTGTTTGCAAATACAAAAACAGTAGCATGTATTTTTTATTAAAACATTTTTGTTTTTCTGTATTAACGGGGTGGGGCTTATAATGAACATGCTAATTTTCTGTCTCCAAATAATAAACTGTGTAGTATTGAGGTGTTCATACCCATGATCTTGTCTTTCATTGGCTGTACTATCATGTCACTGAGTGAAGATTAAAATTCTTTAAGAATCTTAGATCAAAAACTTTAGCATTTTAGAGCTGAAAAGAAATAAAACTTCATGCCATTTAGTTTTATTTCAAAAATAAATAAATGAGGGGTCCTCCCTGGTGGTGCAGGGGTCTTAGTGCTGTTAAGCTCTTGCTATCCTCTGCAGCCTGAGTTCGATCCCTGGCCAGGGAGCTACCCACATGGCGCAGCAGACCTCTCCTGACTCGCCTGCTACTCCCCTCAGCAGTGTATTTCAGTAGATCTGCCTGTTCTGCTCTACACAGTGTCTTCTGTGAATCCTCTCACCTTCCCCCATACCTCTGGCCTATACCCCAGTTCTTCTATGTAAAAATAAATAAAAATAAATCTTTAAAAAAATAAAAAATAAAGAAAATGAGACCATTGATTTGTGCACTGATTTTCTTCTAAAGTTAGTTAGGACATAGGTTGTCCAGTTAAGAGAACTGAGGTTATGGATGATATAAATAAAGACTAGTTTACCTTACTTATGTACAGGTTTTAAATTCACTTTTTTGTGTATATATTTTGTGGTAATTTTTCCAAACTTTTAACATGAGATTTTCTTTCTTTGCTAGGGTGGGCAGCTTCAGAGTGCCCTTGTATTTGAGGAAATAGGCCGCCGCCTTAAGGATGTCGGGCAGGAGGTGGCAAAGAAAGTAAACGCTGTGTTTGAGTGGCATATCACTAAACATGGCAACATTGCATCTAAGTGGAGTAAGTCATTTCCCTGACTTTATAGTATCCTAAGGTAACTCTTAGTAAATAGAGTTAAGGTATCCTGTCATGATTAAAATGTGCCTCTTCAAAGGTAGGTAAGTCCTATCTCCTTAGGTAAGTTGTTTTTCATGTGAAATCATATGTTTCAGGGCCAACGACATGTATGATTCCTAGAAATATAGGAAATCAATGAAAATGAAAATAAACTGTTTTAAAGATTTCTTTGTAATACCTGAAATTACTACATTTCCTGTAGTATTCTTGGCTATATGCTTCATTAACTAATCTTCACAGTCTCTTAAACATAAAGCACATATATCAGGTCAAATGAAATATTTTTAAGTCACTTCCTTACATTTAAAAATTATCCTTCGGCGCGCAGACCTCTCCTGCCGCCCGCTGCTCCCCTCAGCAGTGTACTTTGGTCCTTCTGCCTGCTCTGCTCCCTGCTCTGGCTCTGGTGAATTCTCTCACCCTCCCACGCTTCTGACTGTACCCAGTGCATGTATAAGCAAAACGAACAAACAAACAAACAAATAAATAAAACATGCCTCTATTAAAAAAAATAATTAAAAAAAAAATAAATAAAAATTATCCTTCATTAACTTAAGAAAAGGATTTTTCCTTATGTTTCTCCTGAAAGAATGAGAGTATTCAAATTCTGTTAATAACTACTTATTGATGTCTTACAGCTTTTATTTCTTTTATCATCTTTTCTGGTCTTTATTTTTCAGAACTAACAATGGGATTTTAATTGTTCAGTATTCTGTGTGATCTGTTGTTTGATTTGATTCTTAGCTATGCAACCAGCCTCAGTTTTAGTTTTTGTTTTTTTTTGCAGTCTTTGCATCACTAAGTTAAATCACTGTTGCTGGCAGCAGAAACTGTCTAGGTCTTCTGGTCTCTATTATCTTAGGAGACTGTTGTATGTTGGCATCTTTATTTTGATTTTGATATTTAATGACTTAAAGCAGATTATTAAATGGCTGGACTTAGGAAATAGCTAACTTTTTTTTTACAAACAGTGCAAATGTTTTGTTAAAGACCTAATATTCAAGTAGTTTGTGTTTTAAATTGCTGTTGCTTGTTTAGCTTTAGTCACATCATGGGGGACCAAAAACCTGGTTACAGATAATAGGGCAAATTCTCAGATCAACATGGCTGGGCTCAGAAGGCACTGGAGTGGCTTAAGTGAGTGACCTTGATCAAGTGTGGGAACAAGGTGTTTGACCTGGAAGGCACATTCCAACCACAAAGATCCTGGTCCACGCCCATCTCCTCTGTTCCCTCCCACATCCTGTCATCCAGATAACATCAGTAGCAAACCTCTATACATTCTGTGGGAAGGGAGGGCAATCTAGAGACAATTAGGAGAGTTTTGGTATCAGTGCTGGGTCAGGGTTGGTTTTGATTGTGGAGGAGGAGCCCTCCACAGCTATGATTTTAATGGTTAGGTGCCCTGAGGCCTGTCATGTATGGTCACCTAGGAACAGGAGAGCTGCCTTGACCAGGGGCACTGTGACCTCAGCTGCTTTGGTCTGATACCATCTGGGAGAGATTAGAGAATCCTTCCTCTTCTCTGTAGGCTAAGAGTGTGCATGGAGAGAAGTAGACCATTGTTCTGCAAAAGAAGTCAGAGGGAAGGCTTCAAAAGTCATAGCTTGCAATGCTCACCTGTACCTTCTCATGTGCACATCTGGAGAGAATGTTTTGATTATGAAATTTGCCTTAGAATGGTTAAAAGCATTGTGACCCATAGTTATTGCCTTCTTTAGGTTGGATTTGGAGATTGAGGTCAAGGTAGAAGCCCGACTTATTTCACTGTTAATATCTGTGCAAATATCAAGAACACAATGTCTGTGTCCTTTTTTTTGCTACTCTATGTAATTGAATTGATGACCTGGGTATGTTTGAAAACTTTCCTCAGTATCTGTGCCTTCATGTATTAAAACTTTTGAATAAAGATTGTCCTTTGCCTTTTTTTTTTTCTTAAGGGATACTTTGATTAGGTTAAAAAGGTGAAAGTGTGCATCAGATGGAGAAATAAATCTCTGAATTCCCTTTGAACAAACACAGTCTGTTACTTGTCACAGTTATCTTACTGTATTGTGATTGCTTTTAATTATGCCTCTTCCCACTTGATCTTGGTCTTAACTCTAAAAAAGAACTGCGGGTTGATTTATTTCTAATGTCTAGGGTGGAAGTAGACTGATTTAACATGCTAATAAATAAATGGTAAAACCACATAGATGGAATCAGATGTCTCCCTTTTAAAAGAAAGTGCTGAAATTCGTGTCCTTCCTTTGATTACATTTACTATATAGATAGTAACATTTACTTTTTGTTTAGTATGAGCGAACTATTCAGGAAAAATACACCATTGGAACATTTTATGAGTGAACAATGTATTTTCTACTATTTATTGTTATTAATATCTGAAACCAGCCAAAAATTTTTCTTGTAAAACCTTTGAATCTTATTGTTGTTCTAAGTAACAGTAAAAATTTCATAGAAATGAAAGATTACAGGAAGGCATAAAGAAGATAAAGAATCAGAGGCTTTATGTTACCGATAGAGAAGTCTGCTTTTTTTCTGCAACTTCAGAAACTTCACGTTCTGAAAATAAACTTTTTTCCCCCTCATAAATCATTGATAATAAAACCTTACCTGAACTTGACATGATGTAGTTGATTGCCTTTATCTCACATGGTGTGAGTTGAGTATTAAAATCATTTATTTGCTTTGCAAGTGTTGTTGGCAGGCTCTTTCTTGATATATAATACACATTTTGCCCCAGACTCCTTCCTGAAAGCTGTAACATTCTGAATTCCAAAATGTCTGGCCTAAAGGAGTTCAAATAAGGAATTGGGACCTATTCAGATATACAGATAATTCCATTAGGACAGAAATGGTAAGAGACATGGAAAAGATGCTGTTGGCCTTTATAGAATGGAAGGATGCTTCATTTAACAAATACTTGAGTATTTCCATATGCCAGATTCTCTGCGAGGCTGCAGATTACAAATGCAGGCTTACCTTGCTTCATGGCACTTCATTTTATTGTGCTTTGCAGACATTGTGCTTTTCACAAATTGAAGGTTTGGGGTGGTGCTGGGTGGAATAAGATCATTGGTGCCATTTTTCCAGTAGCATGTGCTCACTTCATTTTTTAGTTATAAAGTATCTTTAAGTTAAGGTCTACGCATTATTTTTTATACATAGTGGACTTATTTATTTCCATGTGTGGAACTGAACTTGCATTATCTTGAAGGTATGGTTGTATGAAAAGACAGGATGTCTTGTCAACACGAATAACGGAAGCAGTGGCAGTGGCAGTGTATCAGGAGCGTTTGAAATACTGGAGTTTTGAGGAAACGAGTTGCTGAAGTGCAGACTAAAAGGAAAAAAAAAAACCTGAATCAAGGCATGGCAGTAATGGAGAGGAGAGACCTGTCTGGATCTATTGCTAAGACAGAATTGACTGATGCGTCTGCTGTGATGTCTGAAACAGATGTCAGAAGGGATGGCAAGGTTTGAGCTTGCATGACTGAGGATGTTGACTCCGTTATTAGATGTGGGAAACATCAGAGAAGGAGCGAGTTTAGGAGGGAAGGTGATTAGTTGCTGTGCTGAGTCTGGAGCAGACTGAGATGTGATTTAGATTGTGGGGACTGTGCACCTGGAACTTAGTGGTGACCTCACACCTAAGACAGAGTTCAAAACCATATTTGTGGTAGCAGTAGTTGGAATTCAGTCTTAGCTTTGCTAGTCTGCTGTGTGGCAGGCAGGAAGAAATTGGAGGTATATCTTTTTTGGTCCTACAAGATTATCTGCTCTTCATAGTGTATAGAGTATTGGCTCCAGTATTTCCACTCGTCTCTAAATAAAGTGAGCGTTTAGAATTTGGTCTATGAATTTTAAATATTCAGTTTGCTGTAACTCCAGGCATAAATACAGTGCCATGTTTCCACATAGGAATCTATTTGTTCATTGTTTCTAAGAGCTATAAGATAGCCACACAAATGAAACTTTTGACAAAACCAGATTTAATTTCAAGTAATAATGATTCAGGATCGCTGAGTAAAAAAATATTTTTCCCCTTAGATTGATAGGTTTAGGCTGGTTTCCATTGAGCAGTTACATTGTTTTTCTCCTAACTGCTAAAGGAAATATGGATTTTTTTTTTACATACTTGTAATCTTTTCCATTATAGGAACATAATGGAATTTACATATTGGAATTTACATTTATATAACAAAATTATAAAAATACTGTGCATTTTTGCTTGAATATTATTCGAGTAATGAAGCGAGTTGGGTTTTAAAATATATATATGTCACAATTAATTATGTAGAGCCAAATTACATATTTGAACTAAATCTAGTCATCCATTATGCAGTATAATACATGAGTGAATGAAAATTTATTTGACTGTTAGAGACCATCTCTTGAATCTTGGAAATTTGCCAGAATGTGAAAGAATATTATAAAGACTTGGTAACTAGTATTCTTTTAAAGTCAGCATTTATTCTTGAGGGTACCATTTGATCATTAGAGCTCATTAGCTTCTGGCTAGTGCTCATCTTACAGCAGTCAAACCAGCCACATGTGTATTAAACCACATCTACCAGCAAAACACCAGTAACCCTCTACCATAATCTGTGGAGTCCCTGCCCCCTTTGAATGTGGAAATGTTTTAAAATTCAGCTTTCCTTCTGTTGATTGTAGTCTTTAATTGAACCTAAATGCCTTAACTGTATAACCTCCAATAACTTTTATTACATTTTTCTACATTTGTTCACATTTAAAATATCTCTTGTATAAACTTATTCAATGAGAAAAACTATTAATCATTATTTCGAAGAACTTTTGAATAAAAAGATCTCAAAAAAAAAGGATTTGAAATTTTTTTTTTGAAGGCATTATAGTGTAGAATAATGCCACATTAACTTGGAAACTCTTAAGAATGTCTTCACTTTATTTTCATTGGTTTATTTTACTCTCATATTGTGAATAGTACATGACAGACTTTGGTTTCTTCCTTTCCCCCCAGCTATTGACCTAAAAAGTGGTCCTGGAAAAGTATATCAAGGCCCTGCAAAAGGCTCTGCTGATGTGACATTCATACTTTCAGATGAAGATTTCATGGAGGTGGTCCTGGGAAAGCTTGACCCTCAGAAGGTAATATTCTTCAACTCTTCCTGTGTTTATCATTATTGCTTCCTGTGTAACAATTGTAGTTTTTAGTCTGATTTGTAAGGTAGAGTCCTTATAACTCTGAAGAAGACACAGTTGATACCAGTACTTGGCATGGCAGATTTGATATTAATAGAACTTTTTTTTTTTAAACAAATCACCATCTTTTTTTTTTAATTTATTCATTTATTCATTTATTCATTTATTTATATAAGTAGTGGGTACAGCAGAAGCGCGGAAGGGTGAGAGAATTCACCAGAGCCAGAGCGGGGAGCAGAACAGGCAGAAGGACCAAAGTACACTGCTGAGGGGAGCAGCGGGCGGCAGGAGAGGTGTCTGCGCACCATATGGAACCCTCACCAGGCGGCCGGGGATCGAACTGGTGCTGCAGAGGCTGCGGGCAGCTTCACAACCCAGTGCTCAACCGCTGCGCCACCAGGGAGGCCTGATATTAATAGAATTTTAACACGTACTTTTTGGGACTGAATTTTGGGATGAAATTCTTCAATATCCAGTAAAATGATGTAAAACATTCATAGACCTTTTAATATAGTATGTTGTTAGTTCAAAGGTGAAAAACCATGTATTAGTAAATATTTTATAAAATTTAACATTTTTTCTTGATACATAAAATTAAGAATTTGTCTTAGTTGACATTGAAATTAGAAATCAGAGGTCGATACTTACCAGCCAGTGTCTTCATGTGAGCCATTTAGAGGCATTTCAGTAGAAAATCAAAATTAAGACAAGGGTACCCTCTCTTGCCATTATTAGTTAATGCTGTTCTGAAACTCTGGACCAGTCCACAAACAATTAAAATAAATGATTAGCAGTTAGAATGGAGAAGGAAAAAATGTTATTTTCAAGACATCATTATGTAGTTTGGAATACCAGACCTCTGTGGGGTGAATGAATTATTCATGAGTAGTATTGGACAGTGCTTCTCATTCCATAGCCCTGCATCAGTACCACACAGACTAGACTCAAATGTAAAAGACAAAAGCAGAAGCACACACTTCATGAAAACCTAAATATTTATTATTCCTTAATGATGACTTAAGGAAATTCTAATTAATACCGGGATCTTTTTAAACTCATTTGGCTCTGTTACCTTCTCCCCTACCTCTGCATTGTCATCACTTTCTTCAGCTATCAAAGCTTTATCTCATAGTATGCAGTCTTTCCCTCTCTGCCAAGAACTTTGTCAATCTTGGTGATTTCTTTCAAGATTCATAAATATGACTTCAACAAATGATTATTCGATCATTGATCTGACTTCTAATATCTCTTATTCCATTCTGCATCAGCTTCATTCCTTATTAACCAGTATTAAATGCACAACTTCACTATCTATTCAAAACAGCACTATTTTCCAACACCATCACCTACAGAGTCCATTACGAATTATGTTATTGCTGCTACTACAATTGAACTTCACTGTGGCCTCCAGTCTGTGGATACAGCCACTTTCTATTATCTGCTCTCTTCCCTGCTTTGTCCTTGTTTGGCTTAGATTCCGTGCTCCATCCTCACTTCTCCCTTGAAAATATCCTCAACTCCCTTGTTTTTCTCATCTTACTTTCCTAGAAAACTGCACCCTGTTTTGACTATACTCTGCCATCTTTGCATCTTTGTTTGAGTGGATGAACATGGCAGGGGAAAGGAAATACAGCCTAATTGGTTTTCCCCTAAATTTTTGATCACAAGCCTCACTAAGCACTGTCTAGCAGTCTCAGTACTATTTGCTAGTAAGCTTCATCCTGTGGTCTGTGATAACAACTTCATACCTGTCTTCTTAAAACTTCTGCACTCATTTTCAGCTTATGATCTGTGTTCTTTCATGCTTCATTGAAGGAAAAATAAAGGCTTTCTTATAAATACTTTCACCTTCCTATCAGCAGATCTATTCTATCAATATCTGCATTTGGCAGAAATTCACAGGTTTTGTTCCTTCATGGCAACTTCTCATTACTTTTTGCATAGCATTCCTTGGCCAAAAAAAAAAAATAACAAATAAACAAAAAAATCCCTCATGGTTCAGTTTGTTAAGTAGTTAGGTCCAAACAAGAATAGTTTTTCATGCTCTGTGCAACTTATGTCAGTGTATTTTCCTTGAAAATTTAAATATTTCATAATGTCCCAATGGTGTGCCATTGTGCACCATGATGCATGCTTTGGAAACTGTGACAACATGGAACTATGGTCAAGAACCTTAGTTAACAAATGTCATGATCTGGCAGTATTCTGGGAATCATCCTAAGAAAACAGTCAAGTAGGAGCAAAGATTATGTTCAAAACTCTTCCACTCTTCCAATGACAGCCATCAAATGTTGGTATATTTCAAGTAATTAGGTGTTCTTTGAGGTTGTAAGTCCCTGTCAGACTTTAGTCCTGGCAGACAGGGCTGAGTACTGAGTCCTCTGCAGGCCTTGTACACCATGCTGTCTGTAACTGCACAGTGGGAGCAGGCCTCATTTTAACATTCCCAGTACTTGTTTGGATACCTGGCACTTGGTCCTGATTTAAATCAGCCCTCCCTCATTTCTGGGATAAAAAGTTTAAGCGACTTTTGCATCTCCTCCCTTTGAAGAGGATTTGCTTCTGACATGAGCCTCTGCTAGCTTATAAACACAATGCAGTATTAAGCAGAGATATCCTGAGTTCAACTCCTGGCCCTGCTTCTCACTCACTTTGTGACCTTGAGCAGGTTATTTAAGCAACTTGAACTTCAGTTTTCTCATCTATCAGTTGAGAGAAAGAACTGATATGCCCACTTCAAGTTGATGATTGTGCTTCTCAAAAGAGATGATATGTGAATGCCTCTTTTGTAAATTAAGTGTGCATGAATATTACTTTATTTTCAATCTAGCTAAAAATCTTTTTCCCTTCGTATTCCATATGTTGTTTTCTCAATAAACTATAAAAACTGTGACTCATTATTTTTATTTTACTGCTAGGGAATTTGACACTGAGGGAGAAATGAAGCAACTCGCACAGGTTTCTGTGTCAGGTCACATATAGAGTTGGTACAGGGCTGCTTAGTGTTTTCACATGCCAGCCTGTTACTTGGTGATAATGAGCTTAATGTGCTCTTATCATGTGGCAGACACTATGCATTTTATACACTATTTCATTAAATTTCTAAAACAAAGCTGTATTATTTAGCTAGTAATATCAAGTCCCATAAAGATGAGGATGCTGGCACTCAGAGACTTTAAGGTGTTTGCCCAGACTCACCTTGTTAGTAAGAGCCAGACATTCAGCCTCAGCATTCTGATTCTGTGTGTCCTGATTTGTTCACCACTTCACTGCACTATCTTATTTTTGTCATTGCATGACTTTCTGTTTTGTGAAGATGTAATAAGTAATTTTAATCACCTTTGAAAACTTCAGATTGCATATTTTTATTGATAGAAATATAGTAATTAGCCCTTTGTTCACATGGCCTCAAATTCATGTTTAAGACAACAGACAAAAGCTAGACGCTTAGGTTGTAGTAGAACTTCCAGATCTGTCAGTTCAGATGAATTATTCTATGATTTTCTAAAATACATCACAGGGACTTTTTTTTTTCCTTTGATATCTGAAAAGAAAGGTGTTATTTATAATCATTAAACTAACATTGCCAGATAAAGGTTATCTTTGTTGTCCAGAATTATTAACTCAGTTGTATTCAGTCTGAAAACACTCTTTTGAAAAATGTAATACAACATAACATGGTAAAGGCTGGCATTCTTTTGCCTCTCTCTTTTCCAGGCATTCTTCAGTGGCAGGCTGAAGGCCAGAGGGAACATCATGCTGAGCCAGAAGCTACAGATGATCCTTAAAGACTATGCCAAGCTCTGAAGGATGTACTACATTACTAATAAAAATAGAAAAATTAAAATGCTCTGTTCACCCAAATATGCAGACATGATTCAGCAAAAGTGATCGAACTAACATACCAAGAGAAATTGCTTAACATTTTCAGATTTCAGATAACTTTTCAGATTTTCATTTTATACTAATTTTTCATGTTATCATTATTTTTACAAGGAACTCTAAGCTAGCATGTAACTATCCTTCTGTTCTTAGAGCTATATCTTGGTAATAAAAAATTTTCACCCAAGTCCAGTGTCTTCAGAATTTGTGATCGCTTTTGTAAGTTGAAAGTAAAATTAAAAGAGTAAGTTGAAAGTAAAATTAAAAGAGTAAAATTAAAAGAGTAAGTAAAATTTTAATGCCTTTTACCCTTCATTTTGTTATTTTCTGTTCTCTAATGTATTGATATCCATGTCTTAATATGAATTTTCACCTATGTACTCACTTTTCATACTTTGCTATAAAAGGTAGTATTCTGCTTCAAGATGAGAGACAGGCCTTTGTGTTCTCAAAGAGATTTCTTTTTTCTTTTGCTGGAAGTTCATATAATGTTCCCATCTGTGTACAGAACATATAATTTTCTGGCTTCATCAGTAATCTTAAATCATAAAGACGGGGTCTAACAAGTACTGTCATGTCACTGTTTTGCTTAACATCTAGCTTGGATGACGTGCTGAAGAGCTGCTCTTCTGATGAGTTGACTGCAGAGGTGACCAGCAAATGGACTGTTCAGGTCAGGGATGGAGTAAGTGGCAAGTATGGAGCATAACGGAAAAAACTATGTGTAGAAGGGTGATATAGGCTGAGGTTCCCAGGAAAGGGGCTTTTACACAGATATTCCTAGACAGGAAATTTGTTAGGGAATGCTCTTAGAATGAATAGCTGTGGGTTGGGGCTGAGGAATATTGGTAAGACAACATTTGGATGGACCTTCTGAATTATCCTGAGGTAACTAACCATTGAGTAGGACCTGTGCTGCAAAAAGGGGGTGACCTTGGACAAAGTCCTAGAGTGGACTATAGTCAGTTAATAATCTTGCCAGCAGCTGAGGGAACATCTTCAGTGCTGAATAGGGCTTCTGGGAGCACAGCACAGCACTTTGTTTTCAGGGAACAAGGTGGAGGGAAGCAGAGTTTAAGGATCAAGAGAAGGTCTTAGAAATTTAGAACTGTAATATTTAACACAATAATGAAACATGAATGAACAGGATATGTAGAAAGCATAGAAGAAAAGTTTCACATTTGACAAATTATACCTTAGCATCATGAACTCAGTGATATAGTAACATTTAATTTAGAGTCATCCATTGTGATGCCAATTGAATTAGACAAACCAATGGCAGTCCTGTGATGTTACTCTTTTGCAATAGCTATTGTTCCTGTTGAGCTTAGAGAAACTTAGTGTCCTTCCAGATAGAAATAGCATATTAAAATTAATCAAGTGACAGCAGACATTAATGAAAATGTTGAGTATATACCCCAAATGCTTAAAACATATTAAGAAAGTAATGATTTAATTATCTTACGAACTCATCTCTATTAATCTTAAAGGTCAGAGAGTTGTTGGCATTTAGATTTAGTAGCTTCTTAATAGTCTTCTTGCTTTAACCTTTCTGTAATATTTAATATGGTTGAATGCACTCTCCTCAATTTTTTTGTTTCCCTTTTACCAATGAAAAATATATTCACTTCTTAAACTTAAGGGTTAATCTCCCTGACTTCTATTTGGCTCTTTTGTAATTTCCTGTCTGCCTATCTTTACAGGATTTTTGATCAAGGTTTCAGCCTTTTCTACTTTTTGGTAGACATTTTCTTCTTCAATGACTTCGTCATATCTTCAGCCATCAGCTGAGTGCTGGTAACTCTGAATGTGGTTTTTTTTTTTTTTAAGATTTATTTTATACAAGAACTGGGGTACAGGTCAGAAGCGCGGGAGGGTGAGAGAATTCACCAGAGCCAGGGCAGGGAGCAGAGCAGGCAGATGGACCAAAGACACTGCTGAGGGGAGCAGCGGGTGAGGCAGGAGAGGTCTGCTGCGCCATGTGGGGTTCTCCCTGGCTGGTGGGGAATTGAACCGGCGCTGCAGAGGCTCAAGTCCTCTTCTCTTACAGTTCCAAATCATTACCGGGCTGTTGTTACATATTTACTGCAGACACATGTCCCAAATACAATCAGGTACGGAAACTTAGAGCACTGGGAAAGCCAAGTCATGAGTGCCCATCCCAATGTGCTTTTTGGTCTCCTGACTTGCTTTTTCATCTCATCATTGGTATATCTCAAGTTTCCTAAGTGTGTCATCTGTGTGAAGCTGATCTTATCCGGCAGTGATAGAATAGTCTCTTGACTTCCCACAGATCTTTGTATATGCATTTTATTGCAGTCTGAGAAAAAGGTGATTTTTACACTGGGGAGATATAGATTTAAATAATCTAATAATACTACTACCCTAACGTTAACTTTTATCCCTTTAGGTCAACAAATACAGCAGCAAAACAAAATGATAATCCATTTCCACTGAGACATTCTGAAATTCAGAAACCTCAAAAGCTGCAAGTTATGGGAAGTGATTTTCTGAAGAGCAGAACATTTTAGGTCAGTGTGGACTAAGCTATTTAAAAGGGGAGAGAAAAGAAAATAACCTATTTAAGAACTCATAAATAGGCAAAAACAGAAAATCTGCAAGCCATGGCTAAAAATGAATTTAGATTTATATTCTATCTGTATGCAGTATATTGGCTGACGTTGCTTAGTAAGTGAAAGTGACATCTAGATATCAGGGTTAACAATGCTTAAAAAGTAAAAAGATGTCTGAGCTGATAAAATGTCGAGGCACTAAAATTCAAGCTTTATTCATGTAAGAGCTGTTTATAGCCTCATCCAGAACCCATCTTTTAAGAAACCTGGCTGTATAACTTTTGAGACCAGAGCTGACAAGCATCAAAAATAAAAGTGGAAGAATCCTTTGTTATTGGGGGGGAACACTAGTAGTGGAAGTTTTTGAAGCCAGCATGGCAGAAAACATCAAATTAAACCAGAAAACAGATTGAAAAGTGTCACTTAAAGTGTGTGCTGTTTGAAGGGAGGTTGAGCAGCTCTCTATTCCTTAACCTCTTTTGAAGTTACAGGAATTTCCAGGAAAGAAAAACTATGGGTTAGATCAGGGATCAGCAAACGTTTCTCTAAATGGCCAGATAGTAAATATTGTAGACTTTGCAAGGTCATATATAGTCCATGTAGTGTGTGTGTGTGTGTGTGTTTACTTTTTAACCGACTGGAGGTTGGATTTGGCCTGCAGGGTGTGACTTGGGTTTCTGTGTTGAGAACACTAGTTAAGACCTGAGGGGAGAAATCAGATATTGTACAAAGTGAACAATGATGTAAGAAAAGTTAAAAAAAAAAAAAAAAAGGCAATGACACTAGGATAACTTTTTATACTGTAATTTTTATTTACTTTGACAAATTATGAAAGTATGAATTTCTATGAATTATGAAAATATGAAAAGCCCTCTCCCACTCCGCCACCTGGACAGTTCAAACTGCATGTACATGGCCCTGTTCCTGCCAGCCCATCCTGTGGATTCCCCAGGTCAGGTTTCCAGCCCAGCAGCTCAGGTATCCTATCCTCTTCATTTTCCCTTTTTGTCTCTGATCAAGTATTTCCTGTTACCAAATAAGAATTATACCTTGTAAATATGTATGTCTGATAAAAAGCTGCTGATGAAAATGGCATAATCAAATGTCAGCTGTCCTGTCAGTGTGAAGGCAGCAGGGCCCAAGTTTTCCAGTTCTGATGGTCACCTCCCATTTAATATTTAAATATTTAATATTTAAATCAAAAGAGTCCACATCCTGCTTTCAATGTGAAGTCCAGTCTCCTTACCAACTTTTCCAGGTATTTTTGATGGAGTGGAGGGGGCAGAGGTGATGTTTTTGGCTTTTTAATCACCCTTTGATACCATTTTCTAATTCATTTGAATTATTCATTATTTACCTTTTATCATTGCATTGAATGTAAAAGTGGAAGAGCATTAATCGTCCCTCATATTTTCTTCAAAACCACAAGCATTCAAGGAAATTATGTGTACTAGGCCATTACTGAAGTGCTAGGATTAATAAACAGGATGTATATCACAGCTACTTGTGGAATATGCCAGATACTCCACCCTTTAATGTTTCTAACAGGCTGACTCCGCTTACATCTGTTCTCTTTTCTTCCCAAGTCCAGAAGCTCCTGCTTCATTTTACATAATAGTTTAGCTGTGTTTCTCAGTAGTTCTTTGTACAATTACAAGGGTTTCATTGTATATATCTAAACCAGGATTTTCTCTCCCTAAGAGGAATTCTGCCTCTGGCTTTCAAGTGTTTGCACCTTCTGGGTAAAGTAGGATGACAGGTAAGGGAGAAGTGAGTGGGAAGATCTGGTGGCAGTTTGGGGAGTAGATGCCTGGATAAAGAGCTGTGTCCAGTTACCGCCTCCTGCAACATCTGTGTTCAGGGCATTACAAGTATTATGCCTGCCAGTCATCTCCGCAAACCCACAAGGCAGATAAGATCATTCCCTCCTTTATAAAGGTGAGGAAACAGGTTTGGGAGGTTAAGTAACTTGCTCAAGATTATGTTGCTATTAAGTGTCAGATCTGGAACTTTGATACAGATGGTCTTTGTGCTTAGTCATTGGAAAATGCTGACACCCTGTCCATTATCCTGGTGTCCCACATACATTATTGGGCTCTATGTCTGTGATTTATGTGCAATTTTTACCTTTTATTTTTTTCCCAGAGAAGAAAGTTCCCCAAAGTCACAGAGTAAGGATGGAGTGGCAAGGGAGTCAAAACCAGCTCTCTCAACTCCTAATAGTGTCTGCTTGCATGTTCCCTTCATGGGTTTCCATTAAAAATATTAATGTATTTTAATTTGGGTTTGACAAGCAGATTTTATGGTTCTGTTAGAAATTTGCAAGGTTTTGTAATATATATCACAGGACTGATAGCCAAGGACATTTACTTCAAAAGTTTCCAGTGTAAGCAATAGAAAGGACAAAGAGTTCCTCAAAAGAGAATATATATAACACTTCCAGAAGGTGAGATATCCTTGGTGAGGAAATAGACTTCAAATTAGGAAGCATTAGTATTGTTCTAGTTTTGGAATTCCCAACCCATGGATTCAGGTAAGAAACATTTTACTGTAGTTCCGTTTGTCAAAAACTAAATGACAAGCATGAAAAAACCACATTGTGAATTAAATGTTACAATAAAAATATGGAGTTTTCATTGTCTTTTAAAATTGCAGTGATCAGGAAATCACTTTATACATAAAATTACACAGAGAT